TTTCACTATTCCAACTCAGTTACTGTCTCTTAGAGACAACAACAATAAATTTAGTAAATTGATTAATGCGACTACATTAGGCTCAGATGCACAAACGGCACATAATAACTCGGCTGTTGCCCAAATCTTCTACTACATATTTTTATGGATCTGCCGACATTTGACTCTTTGCGCTTCTTACACACTGATTGGGCTAAGTGAGGCAAATTCTAATTTATTATAAATTCCAAAAATAATTTTAAAATTTTCCTTAAGAGAATTAATTTCAAAAAATAAAAATTTACTGTTAAGCTCACTTCGTGACTTAACTTAAGTCATTTATGTGAATTACTCTTTGAGTATTCACTGCAGATCTTTCCGTGGACTTCTCTGCGACAACCACTTCTACAGATACAATAATAAATAATTATTCATTTATCATTCCAACCTAGTTACTGTCATAAAAGAACAACACAAATTTAATAAATATACTCAACAACAATTCTGTCGCTGCTTTGCTCTACTGCGACTAAATTAGGGGCTGATGCTCAACCGAACCATAATAACCCGACTGCTGCTCAACTCTGCTAATTTTATATTTTTATGCCTCTGCCAACAATTGTTTTTTCGCTTGCTTCTTACACAATGATTGAACTAAGTGAGGCAAATTTAAAATTTAATTAAAATTAAACATTTAACAATATTAAATTTTAAAAATTAAAATTTCCGTCAGGATCCTTCTGGACATGACACTTAATTTCAAAATAAATTTTAATAATTTATAATAGTTGAGACTCTTCTGAGCCTCAACATTTCTGTCAGATGCCGGTAGAGTCTCAAAAGCAATTTACGTGGACAACATTCAACGCGACAACCAAAGTTCAGGACAATACATATATTTTAACTCTCTTCATTTCTATCCCCTTTCCCATACTTTACACCTTTTAATCTTCTCTCTAATAAATATTTATTATTTATTTCTGTTGTCCACTTCCGTTTTCCCATCTTCCTTCTATCAACACTTAAGCATTCTTTTAATTTTAAATTGCTTTCCTTTCCCAAAGACACTCGTTGTTTATACTAAGTGTAACAACGTTGCTTTACAAAAATTACAACACATAGTTGATCGTCTTAGAGCGAACAACAATAAATAAATTTTATTTATCTTTTAATGGTTAGGCTCAAATTTACCAATCACTTAACAATTATTTATTCATCTCTACTCTTCTATACATCTTTCTCTGCTAGCTAGCTTCTTCTATATTAGGTACACACCTCGCGCTATTTGCGCCTATCCGCTTCTCGCCCGCTTTATAAAATTAATCATAGAGTCCCAATCCGCGCCTCTGCGCCCAACCGCTTAACGCTCTGCGCTTTTTGCATTCCGCTTCATGCTCGCCCCTGCGCTATTCGCATTCCGCTTTCTGCTCCTGCGCTATTCGCTCTCCTCTTTCTATTTATTTTAACGCGACTTGCTCTAAAATATAATAAAATTTTAATTTAAATTACCAAATTTAAGCTAACAATTGGTATTTAAATTAACTACAAATGACCAACATACTCAGCAACCGAACAAGGAAGGCAGCTACAACACTCAACTCATTGTTGGCACAATCAATGCCAACATTACCAGAACAACAAGACAACATAAATGAACTTGCGGAAATTAAATCAACATTAGTTGTTCTTCGAGGTCACCTCGAAGAACTTAAAGTGACAATGGCAGCAATGAATAAGATAGACGAGGAATGGGCTTCGGCTCTTTCTCACGCAACGGAGATAGATAAAGTTCGTGTGTTTAGAATCTACGATAAAGACCAAGAAGATTATCAGTGTGAAGTTATTATGACTAAAGCCTTGGAGGCAAGAAGATGTTTAATGGGGCTTATAGGTAAATTTACAGCAAGAGAAGTAGTATTAGAATCAACATGTAAGGGGAGTAATTCCACAACAATTTTGAATCGAACCATTCCTCGTCTATCTTATTCATTGCTGCCATTGTCACTTTAAGTTCTTCGAGGTGACCTCGAAGAACAACTAATGTTGATTTAATTTCCGCAAGTTCATTTATGTTGTCTTGTTGTTCTGGTAATGTTGGCATTGATTGTGCCAACAATGAGTTGAGTGTTGTAGCTGCCTTCCTTGTTCGGTTGCTGAGTATGTTGGTCATTTGTAGTTAATTTAAATACCAATTGTTAGCTTAAATTTGGTAATTTAAATTAAAATTTTATTATATTTTAGAGCAAGTCGCGTTAAAATAAATAGAAAGAGGAGAGCGAATAGCGCAGGAGCAGAAAGCGGAATGCGAATAGCGCAGGGGCGAGCATGAAGCGGAATGCAAAAAGCGCAGAGCGTTAAGCGGTTGGGCGCAGAGGCGCGGATTGGGACTCTATGATTAATTTTATAAAGCGGGCGAGAAGCGGATAGGCGCAAATAGCGCGAGGTGTGTACCTAATATAGAAGAAGCTAGCTAGCAGAGAAAGATGTATAGAAGAGTAGAGATGAATAAATAATTGTTAAGTGATTGGTAAATTTGAGCCTAACCATTAAAAGATAAATAAAATTTATTTATTGTTGTTCGCTCTAAGACGATCAACTATGTGTTGTAATTTTTGTAAAGCAACGTTGTTACACTTAGTATAAACAACGAGTGTCTTTGGGAAAGGAAAGCAATTTAAAATTAAAAGAATGCTTAAGTGTTGATAGAAGGAAGATGGGAAAACGGAAGTGGACAACAGAAATAAATAATAAATATTTATTAGAGAGAAGATTAAAAGGTGTAAAGTATGGGAAAGGGGATAGAAATGAAGAGAGTTAAAATATATGTATTGTCCTGAACTTTGGTTGTCGCGTTGAATGTTGTCCACGTAAATTGCTTTTGAGACTCTACCGGCATCTGACAGAAATGTTGAGGCTCAGAAGAGTCTCAACTATTATAAATTATTAAAATTTATTTTGAAATTAAGTGTCATGTCCAGAAGGATCCTGACGGAAATTTTAATTTTTAAAATTTAATATTGTTAAATGTTTAATTTTAATTAAATTTTAAATTTGCCTCACTTAGTTCAATCATTGTGTAAGAAGCAAGCGAAAAAACAATTGTTGGCAGAGGCATAAAAATATAAAATTAGCAGAGTTGAGCAGCAGTCGGGTTATTATGGTTCGGTTGAGCATCAGCCCCTAATTTAGTCGCAGTAGAGCAAAGCAGCGACAGAATTGTTGTTGAGTATATTTATTAAATTTGTGTTGTTCTTTTATGACAGTAACTAGGTTGGAATGATAAATGAATAATTATTTATTATTGTATCTGTAGAAGTGGTTGTCGCAGAGAAGTCCACGGAAAGATCTGCAGTGAATACTCAAAGAGTAATTCACATAAATGACTTAAGTTAAGTCACGAAGTGAGCTTAACAGTAAATTTTTATTTTTTGAAATTAATTCTCTTAAGGAAAATTTTAAAATTATTTTTGGAATTTATAATAAATTAGAATTTGCCTCACTTAGCCCAATCAGTGTGTAAGAAGCGCAAAGAGTCAAATGTCGGCAGATCCATAAAAATATGTAGTAGAAGATTTGGGCAACAGCCGAGTTATTATGTGCCGTTTGTGCATCTGAGCCTAATGTAGTCGCATTAATCAATTTACTAAATTTATTGTTGTTGTCTCTAAGAGACAGTAACTGAGTTGGAATAGTGAAAACCGGAGGTTGTCGCTGAAAAATCCACAAAGACACCTGAAGTGAACACTCAGAGTGATTCACGTTAAATGAAATAAGTTAAGTCACTAAGTGAGCTTAACATTAAAATTTTTATTTTTAAAATTAAATTTCTTAAAGAAAATTTTAAAATTATTTTTGAATTTGTAATAAATTAAAATTTGCCTCAGTGCATATCGAGTCCATACGATTTCGGTGGAAATTGATTGAATTGTTGAACATCCATACAGTAAAGTAAAAATAATGTAGATTGTCTAGGATCCTTCAAATGTAGTTAATTAATTAGTGTCGTTTTTATTAATGCTGAATTAGTCCTGTCTGGGTCGCCATGTGTCGCAGACCCGAGGGCCTGCGACGTAAGTTTGGCAAGTTGCCGCCAAAGATGAGTAGACGTTGGATCCAGTAAATTGACCATTTTGTTTTGCCGGGCTTGCTGGTGCCTATGAGCCGGGGAGAACCCCTAAACTCGGGAATTTAGTCGTTGAGGCTACCTTAAAGTAAATAATTGGGCGGGAAGACTCGTTATAATAATTGAAGTACTTAATAATTAATTACTAATTTTAATTCAAGAATAATTACAGGCCCGTAGCAAGGAAAATTTTCGGGGAAGGGGGGGGGGGTCAATCATTTTCGAAGCCAAATTTTTGGCGACGCTTTTTTTTAAATAAAATTGAATATTTTTCAAGTAAAATTTTATTTTAAGCGCCGCAGACGAAAAATTTTAAAATTTTGAAAGGCCGTAGGCCAAAAAATTCACCATCTTGCTCCATTGCCTACCCAAATTGTCTCCATATCTCCATTTCGAGAGGAAGGCGATATAAGCTAGTGCTTCGCCGGAAGTTCCGGTTCCAGTATTTCCGCAACTCGCAATCCGCAATTTTTAAATTATGATGCGAGTCCGGTAATAGAATTTGTCGTCGATTAAGTAATATGTATATGTGGATTAGGGAGTGGAGTATAAACGGATTTGTAGTATATAAGTAATTGCTATCTTCCTTTTTCAGCGCCGCAGGCGAAAATTTTGACAATTTGGGAAAGCCAAGAAGCCGAAATTCTTTTTTTTTCAGCGCCGCAGGCGAAAATTTTTTAAATTTTCAATAAAAGATGGTAAATTTTATAGATTTTGGCCTTAGTTTAGGCTTAAAAAATTGTTTCGTTTCGTTGAAAAATCACAGGTGTTTCGTAACGAAACGAAACGAAACAAATTTAAAAGTGTTTCGTAACGAAACGAGACGAAACAGTAAAAATCATACGAAACATACGAAACAACGAAACGAAACGAAACGTTTCGCCCACGTCTGGTCAGGATGTCCTTCGATGACTTTATACGAAATTTTGAGAAATTAGAGATTTGCAATCTGGGCCCAGATGTGATGGAAGAAATCTATGGTTAGAAAAATTTATTTTACAGTTGACTTGAATGAATTAACTTTTAGAAATGACTGGTGTTAAGCCAACATTAGGAAATACTTGGGCGACCAATTCTCATGATGGATCATGGCGTGCTGGTCAAACAGCTGGCGGTTGTAGAAATTATTTGAGTTAAACTTATTAAATTCTGATAATGCTTTTTAACACATTCTAACACAAAAGGAACATTTGCTATGAATCCCCAGTATCGTATGAGGCTTTCTGATTCTGATCCAAATGATAATGACAACCTATGCACAGTTGTAATCGCTGTGATGCAAAAATATCGACGTGAATTGAAGCATACGGGAGTTGAAAATTTGGCTATAGGTTTTGCCGTTTATGAAGTTCGTTTCACTTTTAATAAGATTAAAATAGTTTTTTTCAGACGAGTGGCACTGCCGGCAAATTAAGTACTGAATATTTTGCTAATACTAAGTCTTGTGCACGTAGTCCGGCTTTTATAAATCTACGAGAGGTTTTCTATTTCCAAGATGGTTGGTTAAAGCTTCAGAAACTTTAGATTACAGGTCGTTTTCGCATGCCGCCAGGTGATTATGTGATCGTGCCTTCAACATATGAGGTGAAGACTTTATTCTAATATGTATTTGAGAGAATATTATTCTTAGCCAGGACAAGAGGGAGATTTTATGTTGCGAATCTTGACGAATGGTTTCATCGAATCTAGGTTTGTATCTTAATAGTAAATTAAATAGATAATTTTTTAAACAGTGAGATCTAGGCGATGAAGTCCTAAATCTTGCAACAAGTAGTACTTCATTTAATAAAAAAGAATAAACTAATAACACAAACAAATAATAACACAAACTAATAATAAAGAACTATGGATAATACATAATTTGAATTTTTTAAATAAAAAATGCATTTCTTTTGATTAATAGTAGGTCAGTATGCTCAATTATTTTATTTTTGCATCCCTCGTCCACTAACCTGTCGTCCTCGGTTTGCAAATCTTTTTTAATCCATCCAAATTTTTGTACCAATGATCAAATGCCAATGATCAAATGTACCAATGATCAAATGTCCAGTGATCAAATGTCCATGGACCAAATGTCCAGTGATCAATTGTCCCTGACTGTCCCACATTAAAAATCCCGCACTGAAAATCTGGCACCAAAAATGACCGACCCCCCTTTTTCAAAAATCCTCTCCACAGGTTCAGGCTTTCATACCTCCCAGTTATATCCAAAGGCACGGGTTCTTATTCAATAGGTGTAGACAGTAGGGCACTTAGACCTTAGATTCGATTAGAACCCCCCCCCCCCTCCCACACACCACCTATTGAATAAGAACCCGTGCCTTTGGATATAACTGGGAGGTATGAAAGCCTGAACCTGTGGAGAGGATTTTTGAAAAAGGGGGGTCGGTCATTTTTGGTGCCAGATTTTCAGTGCGGGATTTTTAATGTGGGACAGTCAGGGACAATTGATCACTGGACATTTGGTCCATGGACATTTGATCACTGGACATTTGATCATTGGTACATTTGATCATTGGCATTTGATCATTGGTACAAAAATTTGGATGGATTAAAAAAGATTTGCAAACCGAGGACGACAGGTTAGTGGACGAGGGATGCAAAAATAAAATAATTGAGCATACTGACCTACTATTAATCAAAAGAAATGCATTTTTTATTTAAAAAATTCAAATTATGTATTATCCATAGTTCTTTATTATTAGTTTGTGTTATTATTTGTTTGTGTTATTAGTTTATTCTTTTTTATTAAATGAAGTACTACTTGTTGCAAGATTTAGGACTTCATCGCCTAGATCTCACTGTTTAAAAAATTATCTATTTAATTTACTATTAAGATACAAACCTAGATTCGATGAAACCATTCGTCAAGATTCGCAACATAAAATCTCCCTCTTGTCCTGGCTAAGAATAATATTCTCTCAAATACATATTAGAATAAAGTCTTCACCTCATATGTTGAAGGCACGATCACATAATCACCTGGCGGCATGCGAAAACGACCTGTAATCTAAAGTTTCTGAAGCTTTAACCAACCATCTTGGAAATAGAAAACCTCTCGTAGATTTATAAAAGCCGGACTACGTGCACAAGACTTAGTATTAGCAAAATATTCAGTACTTAATTTGCCGGCAGTGCCACTCGTCTGAAAAAAACTATTTTAATCTTATTAAAAGTGAAACGAACTTCATAAACGGCAAAACCTATAGCCAAATTTTCAACTCCCGTATGCTTCAATTCACGTCGATATTTTTGCATCACAGCGATTACAACTGTGCATAGGTTGTCATTATCATTTGGATCAGAATCAGAAAGCCTCATACGATACTGGGGATTCATAGCAAATGTTCCTTTTGTGTTAGAATGTGTTAAAAAGCATTATCAGAATTTAATAAGTTTAACTCAAATAATTTCTACAACCGCCAGCTGTTTGACCAGCACGCCATGATCCATCATGAGAATTGGTCGCCCAAGTATTTCCTAATGTTGGCTTAACACCAGTCATTTCTAAAAGTTAATTCATTCAAGTCAACTGTAAAATAAATTTTTCTAACCATAGATTTCTTCCATCACATCTGGGCCCAGATTGCAAATCTCTAATTTCTCAAAATTTCGTATAAAGTCATCGAAGGACATCCTGACCAGACGTGGGCGAAACGTTTCGTTTCGTTTCGTTGTTTCGTATGTTTCGTATGATTTTTACTGTTTCGTCTCGTTTCGTTACGAAACACTTTTAAATTTGTTTCGTTTCGTTTCGTTACGAAACACCTGTGATTTTTCAACGAAACGAAACAATTTTTTAAGCCTAAACTAAGGCCAAAATCTATAAAATTTACCATCTTTTATTGAAAATTTAAAAAATTTTCGCCTGCGGCGCTGAAAAAAAAAGAATTTCGGCTTCTTGGCTTTCCCAAATTGTCAAAATTTTCGCCTGCGGCGCTGAAAAAGGAAGATAGCAATTACTTATATACTACAAATCCGTTTATACTCCACTCCCTAATCCACATATACATATTACTTAATCGACGACAAATTCTATTACCGGACTCGCATCATAATTTAAAAATTGCGGATTGCGAGTTGCGGAAATACTGGAACCGGAACTTCCGGCGAAGCACTAGCTTATATCGCCTTCCTCTCGAAATGGAGATATGGAGACAATTTGGGTAGGCAATGGAGCAAGATGGTGAATTTTTTGGCCTACGGCCTTTCAAAATTTTAAAATTTTTCGTCTGCGGCGCTTAAAATAAAATTTTACTTGAAAAATATTCAATTTTATTTAAAAAAAAGCGTCGCCAAAAATTTGGCTTCGAAAATGATTGACCCCCCCCCCTTCCCCGAAAATTTTCCTTGCTACGGGCCTGGCTTATGGGACACAATTGTTGTAAATAAACCAATAACTAAATCATTTATAAGTCATAGTCGACTAATAACGTATTTGAGGTCGAATAATTTCGAAATAAATGCAGTTTTGAAAATTTTTTGAATATTAAAATGTTTCGTTTTGTTTCGTTTCGTAAGATTTTGGTTGTTTCGTTTCGTTTCGTTAACGAAACGATTTTTAAAAAATTTTGTTTCGTTTCGTTTCGTCAGAAAAAAATTTTGAGTTTCGCCCAGGTCTGATCCTGACAAACAATAAGCAAAAACTATAAAGTAACTATTTACCAGAATTCCCCGTCGTGAGCAAAATTTAAGCCCATATCTTTCTTTAAATCTGCAGGTAATTGATTCCACTCCTTCAAATTGTCTGACCTCAAAAATGTTAAACTTGGAATTTATATTCAATCTGGAAAGATTCAAACATTTGTTTAAAGTTATTAGAAGCAAAGAGGTTATTTATTGTTCTATTCATTAAATAATTTTAAATATTGAGTTTGTTAGCACTTTAACCAATTAAACAGGTATGACAATCAACCTACCATGGTCCATTCCATTCTTGTTCATTGCCCCACGGATTCCTTATTCGTAATAAGGGCACGTTACCATAAGTGGTCGAAACAATTCGCATTCCTGTGATTGAATATGCGTGCCCCTAAAATGAGTAAGTACTGCCGAATTACTAATTTATTGTGATTCAATCTTTGGATATTTCTTATTGTTAGACAGCTTCCCCCCACCTCCTTGAATAAAAGAAAGCTATTCGACATAATGTCGAAATCTAAAGGTTTCAATTTCAGTTTGGAATTTAAACTAAGGACTTTTTAAATAAATTATCGAATTATTTACTTTAACAAGCCCATTTGGCAGTTTTGCCTCCCATACGTGAGGATCTGCTTCGATAGAACATCCAAAAAGTGATCCCATTTCAAAGCCACGAACCATCATCTGCATCAAATTCTCGGTTCGCTCTTGCAGATCATAGAATTCTGTAAGCCCCCCTGTCATATCCTCAAGTGCTTCACTAGTTGTTCCACCCTTAAGAGCTTCGTATGAGCCATGCAACCTTGTAAGGTTAACATTACCAATAAATTTTCAAAATTTTTCAAACAAAAACTCACTTTGCATATGCCTTTTCTAGTAACGCGCTCCAGAATTCGTTCCTATTTTTAAAAAATTATTTGACAAAATAACTTTACATACAAGTCACGTGAATGCATGTATAACAATTCACCCTCCATTGAACAAGGTAATCGATCGTCGATTACAACATCCACCCAACGTCCATACTGCCAGAATTGGAAATGAAATATGCCTAAAATTATTAAAATGTCAAATAAGATTTTCGATACCTGCATAATTTTCAGTAAAACTCTGATCTGGAGGCACAACTCTGTAGAATAATTCATCCCTAAGTGTCAGATTTGCTGCAGCGGCCATCAACCAACAGTCACCAAGTTTTCCTTGAATTACATCAAATCGACTGTGCCCTTCGCAAATTAACTGCGGGTCCTTTACAACTAGAATAAGAAAAATAATCTCAAGTTTTTCAAGTCTCATTACTTTCGCCAGGACGTAACCATTGTACTCTTTCTGTTGGTGGCCGACTGAAAAATAAAGATTGCGTGTTTGCAGGAAAATCAGGATCTTCGTAGAGACGCTTCTCCTGATAATTGTTAGATTAAAAACAAATCCAATTTGTAATTATTATATCGACCTGCAAACAGCGATCGCGCTCGTCATAGAAATTGACAGGTTCTTTACGACGAATAGGTGGCCCAGGTGTAGGAACTGGTTCTGGCTTCACAAAAGGGTCAACCTTACAAAATGAATGTGGAATTGTACTTTAAATTGTATCTTACATCTCTGTGGAATTTTCCGGAGATTATATTATCTAATATTATCTTCCCGATTGTTCCAAGTTTGTTGTCCTTCCCTCCAAGGTTGAAGAGTACATTTCCAGCGATAGCTCCTATAATCTTTCCAGTATGTGGATTTACGCCTAAATGGAAAACTCATCTAATTATCAACAAGCTACAAACCTAGAAAACGATGTGCAGCCTCGCCAATAAGATTCCCAATTAAATCACAAACACCACCAGTAAGAAACTTATTGTTAACATTAGCTCCTGAAAAGTTCATACATAAAATAAAATAAAGAAAAACCTCCTCCGGCATATTTTCCTCGATCTCCTCCTCCACCAATAAGACCTCCGATGATATCATTTATACCACCAGATTTACCATCACGTTTATCTTTGCTTTTTCCACCTATAATTTAATTCATTTAAGCGCTAAAGCAAACTCTTGAAAAATAATAATTCAATGGGAAAATTGATTTGACAAAATTTTTTGATTTTGAAACTTCATGTTCTGACCACCTGCAATTCCGCCTATTAATCCGCCAATCATGTTGCCAAAATCGCCGCCACCACCTATAAATAGTCATTTATAAATATGAAATGAAAAATATTCCGTGAATATCTAAACAACCTTGGTTTTCACAGATATGTCCCTAATTTACCTTTGCTTCCACCACCAAACAGTCCTCCGATTATTTGGCCTGCATTGTCTTTTATTAAATTCCCAGCTATGTTGCCGATGAGCCCATTAAATTCATCGGGCTTCACCTCTATCTAAAAATTAAAATAATTTTCCCATTGTCATTGTCCCTCGTTACCTTCTGAAACTCATTTTCCATTCCCGAAACTTTTAATTAGGCTGAAAATAAAGAAATAAGGCAGTAAGATATAAGATGATTCAAACATTTTATAACTTTTTCTAGACTTTTATTCGTATCATAATAAATATATTTAAATAAAATAAAGCGACACAAAGGAAAAAAGTAATTATTTAGTCGTTACAACCTGACGTTTCTTCCTAGGTATCTTCTTTCGTTTTGAAGTCGATGCTCTGTTCATAAGATTATTCTGCTTTATTTGCCTTTTCCTCTCCATTTTCTCATCCAGAGCTTGCTTACGACTTATCCATTTATTTTTCCTTTTTACCTTTTCTGTCGTCTTTCTCTTAAGACCCTTCATCAAGAGTTGAGGATTGTCCTAAAAGATAAAAGAAAAATCAGTACCCCGCATTGGTGGTGCTCATGGAAGTACTTTATTCGACGAAAATCATTCACACGGAGGCAATATTACAAAAAAATTTATAAACAATATCACAGAATTTAGATCAAATCTCAAGTTAAATATTGTCCTAACAATGTATAAACAAATTATAGAATTATCACAAACCTTCACTTTTAAACCAGAAGCCATCTGGAAAGCTTTTTCCCATGCAATCTTTGTTGCAACATCTTCAGCCTTACTTGCATCTTTATTTCGCAGTTGAGTCAGCATTTCTTCCCTAGATTCAACTTTTTTAAGAAGCCTCCCATAATCGCGACCTTTGAAGAGATTCCGTTTAGGATATGAGCTTTTCTAAAATGAAAAAATTCTTTCTTCTATTAAGATATGCCAGACAAAACCCAATTTTTGGTTACCGTTTTCAGATTTTCAAATAGTTTCAAAAATAAGTATAACCCAATAGTGAAAAAATCATACTTGATCTTGGACAGAAAGCTTCGTTTTTGTAAAAGCAAACTCAGCAGAAGTTAACAGATTCTCCATTAATTTCTATATTTCATAAAATTGTTAATGTTAAGATTTAAGATAGTTAAAAACAGTTGAAGAATTTTACAAGTAAAATGTTAATAACACCGATCAATAACTATAAATTAATCAAAAACAAATTTATTTAAAAATCAAAGATAAATTTATTACAACAAAAGTAATGACTGTCTAACTGAAAAGCTAAATACTAAATTAAGCTGGTAATAACTCATTGAGAAGTTTTACTTGCAACAGCTCCATCCGATCAAACAACAGTTTCTTTATATCAACAGCCAAATCTTCAACTTTTGTAAAATGGACTTTATTTGGATTAAATATTTCTAGGATGAAACCAAAAATCTGCTCCTAAATTATAAAATATACATATCAATCATAATATAAAGTGTTCTAACCTTTAAGTAAATACAGAGTTCAGTAAATTCCCTATCACTACCACCAAACAAACCCATTGCTAATGAACTAGTCAATATTTGTGAAATATCATAAAAATGTGATATAAAGCCATCCTTGACCTAAAAATTCGATAAACCATCATTTACATATATTCTAGAAAAACTACTTGTAAACGTTGTCTTTTGACTTTTATAATAGACCATATTAAATTGTTTAATGTTGATTCCTTCATCGATTTGGAAATGAATGAATTTTTGACCTGAAAGTGAAAATAAATTTAAAAGAAATAGTTGAGTGATCATTTTATCATCTATTCAATCATTTTCCTAGGTTATCGAAAATTTTATTAAGTGATCACCTCTATATAAAACTTACCAATGCAGCGATTGCTGAGGGCGGACGTTGTAAATCTTAAAATAAAATTTTTGCTATTTTTTAATTATCTGCTAAATCGCAGTAATATAATTTTGTAACAATACTAAACAACCTTCAAATGCGTCCAGAATAATTAAGTCGAAAAGAGTATCCCATAAATTTGTGCTCTCTACTTTTCTTGACTTAAGCTCGCTGCGAATTGTATCCATATTATTTTCATTAGTAATGAAAGCAATCATTCGATCATATGCCTTAAAATAATATATTAGACATTTAGTTTTATTAAATTTCATTCAAAATAGCTCAATAAAAAACTATGTTGTGGTAAAAAGCGTACACAGCTGCACGTGGTAAAACTTATGGTTCGATATGGCCGTTTGTCCCAAACTCTAGGTAAGTAGAGCTCCCTATCACCTTTAAAAATTTTATGGGAATAAATATATTCCTTTGACCAATGTATATTTTTTATATAAAGAATTACTGTGTAGAATTCGGATGGATCACGCTTATCATGTCTCAAAAGATCAGCCATAATAATCCTTCCATATTGAACCAGCCTTTGCATAGTCTGTGGATCATCCATCAAACGTCGAAAAGCCAATCTTATACCGAACAATTTTGCGGCAAAATCCTTAAAATTCGATAATTATATAAAATATAGAGGTTTAACCTGCTCTGAATCGCATCCGCATAATTCAGCCCTAAATAGGATTTGAGAGAAAATGATTATTAATTAAACAACCTTGATTTCCTATATTTTACATCTCCATTCTGGGTAGCTCTTAATCCATCGTTGTAGAGAGCTAATGATGCAAAATCAGTTGAGATAGACTCCCTGTCGCTAGAAGGCATCTAAATTACTCATATGAAGTTAATTCTATTTATTATAAATGAGACTCTTAGAAAGTTAAGAAATCGAACCAAATATCATAAATACCAAAATTAGTTTCCCCGCGTAAATGCCAAATCGTTTAACTAATTTGTAGGTAGTTTAAATAAAAAAATTAAATCATACCTCACATAAATTTACAAATTCATCGCAAGCTGTAATAAAAGAATCATCAGAAAGCACAGAAAGTGTGCCAGTTTTTTCAATAGGATATGCTCTTCTGTTGTTCCATACAGATCGGGCGATATCTCTGCAAAAAATTACAAAATTTAGTAAGTTAATACTCAATTAGGTGTTATAGTATATTAATATAGGATACTCAAAAATAATTAAAATCTTTAAAAAACCTTGATTTTCTATATTTTAAATCTCCGTTTTCAGTAGCCTTTAATCCATGGTTGTAAAGAGCTAAAGAAGCGAATTCTGTTGAGGTTGACTCCTTGTCGTTAGGAATCTTAATTTTAATAAATTAATTTAATTCCTTTCGTTATAAGCCAGATCATCAATCTGAACTTTAATTTGTAGGTTAAGCAATTCTTATAGTTATATAATGGCAAGAATAACAAAACTTTAAACCCTACCTCACATAAATTTACAAATTCATCGCAAGCTGAAATAAAAGAATCATTGGAATGCACAGAAAACGTGCCAGCCTTACCAGCCTTCTTAATAGGCAATGTTCTTCTTTTGTTCGATACAGATCGGGAGACATCTCTATAAAAAAAACACATTCACATAATATAGGCATATTATAGATTATAATATATTACCTTCGCCAAATCTAATAAATGAAAATGTTTTTAATTTTATTTAATCAAAGAATAAACTAACATAATAAAATCCAATACCAATGCCGGCTCCAATTCCAATAAGCCATATTCGATAATTAAATAGCCAATAATTCAGACTGCGATCTGTAGTAGTTAAACGATTCCCCATGAGTTTCTATACTTTCAAAAAATTAACTACAAAATTTAAGATTAATTAAAAAGGTCATGGTTAAAATTTATCAATAACGTTCTAATAATAAATCGATCAATCAAAAGAAATTTAAACGGAACAGGACTATAGAGTCTCGCTTGTATACCGCCCGTTGAGTACCGTTGATTGGTTTTGACCGGCTGAGTCTCGTCGAAAATGGAACCTTTTTAAAGAACTGGGCCAATTTTGATAACATATACCATATGAGTAATATACAAGCAGAATTTAGGCCCAATTTAAGCCAAAATAATTTATAATTAGGTCAAGCAGTATATACATACATATAGCTAAAATAAAATTTATAACAAAATTCTTATTTTTTGCAGTATATTTCACAATTTACGGTAATTAATTTTAATAATATGATTATTTCTTATCCTTTGTTGATTAATCTTCATCTTGTCCACTTTTCAAACTCGCCTCATTGACTGATTCAATAATTTGTTCTCTTTCATGAATCTCCTGCCCGTTTGAAGCAGCTGATAGTATGTCTACTAAATCACCAGTATGTGTTTGAAGTAATGCTGCATAAGCGGCATTCCAATCTAATTCATTAGTTACCGCGCTAGGTGAGAGTACTGATACAATCTTTGGTGAGATCTGATTGTCTTCATTCCGTTCCTTATCCACGTCCATGTTTACACGTGTACTGCCCAACGGATTAACATGGATATTTCTTAAATTAATATGCATAAGATAACGAATTGCCCAAAAAATTTAAGAGCACTAAATTATTCTTTGCAATGTTGGAAATCTGGAGCTTATTTTTTAGTTATAAAGTTCACCTTTTATAAAATTTTACAAACCTGTTTGGCCTTCCTTCACGCAACGTCCAATTACGCACCTTCGCATTGTTTTTTAGGTGACCTAGTATCATCTTCGCGTTCCCCTGATAATTATAAATTGTCAATTTGATTGCTAAATAGCAAATCATACCAGTTGTTCATCATCAGGCAACTCATTCCAATTAAAATAGTTCATAGTTTGTTCAACAACTACTCTAACCTGAATTTAGAAAATTATTTCAGAAAGGAATATAGAAGAATAGACTATAAGGGTATAGGTTTAGAAATAGGTATATTTAATTTATCTTGATACAGAACCTTAAGCTACACTTCAAAAATGCCTAAATCTTTATCAAATATAAAATTTAAATCAATATAAAATTTGCCTTTGAAGCTTGTCTACTTAATAAGTTCGCTGCTGTTTCGCCGTGAAATGTTCGTAAAGATATGTTGATATTCTTTAACTCATTGTCGTTTATTGACTCACGAAGTATTTGCCACGCAAAGACCTAAAATTTTAAATAAATTATCAAAAAATCCTTAAGAGAATGACAGTCTATTTTTGAAGATGATAAAAAAATTAAAAATTTACTTTCGGTTGTGTACTTTGGAAGCTACGTGATGCCTTTTCTGCAGCTCTCTGAACTGCCCCATCAGGAAACATCGTATCACTCCTTGAAGATGCTGCATTAGAAGAAAATGAACTCTTATTGGTACGATACCAAGAAAAATTGGCTTTCAATTTGGAATGCAATTTATTAGGTGATTTGCGACATCTTTGTAATTCTCGTTTATTTTCCGTAGATATATCGCTGCAGTATTCATGCTGTGTATGATTGTTGATAACACGTTGATGATAGCAATTTAGTTTTGAATCAGTTTTATCAAAGTCTGATGCACCACAAGCGTTTGATGGAAGCTGATTCGGATTATCAGGCTTGAATTAAAAAATTTAAGTTGTGGAGATAAACACTCGCATACCTTAGCGATTATTGAAGTAATTGAGTGTGAAGGAGAACAGATATTCGATAGGTCTCCTCCGCATCCTGTGAATGAAGGTGGTGTGCCTCCAGTTCGTCGATTACCAGCTTGCCGTTCAACAGACTCTAAACTCGCTAAATTTTGCTTCATTTCAACTCGCAGAAGAGCTTCATCCGTCTCATCAGATGCTTCTACTTTTAAACTGCAAAATTCACCGTTTTCAGTCTTCACGGCGGGGTCATGCAGATGTGACGGACCAAGAAGATTATTCAAAGAAGGTATAACACTTGAATTAAGTGACTGGTCAATCATATCATTCATAAGAGAATTGAGATAATTAGTAGCTGTGGTAGTTGCAGATGCTTCTGATTGCGCTACTGAACCTGTTGATGATGATGCCATTGGTAAAGTAACACGTTTATGCGAGGACTTGTGCTGATTCTAAATTTTGATTTTACAATGAAATGTGGTTGCATATAAAACTTTATCTTTGATTAACAAATTTAGTGTAAAATTAAATTTTAATTGATCTGCGTGATAAATAACATACTGAGGTAGCGTTTTGCAACAATGCAGCAAAATGTGCCGCTGTCATGATATTTGAGACAAGCTGATGATTGCCGGAAAGGGAATGTGAAGAATGGTCCGATTCTTGTTTATTAACATATGCCAACGGAACATTCAGCGACGCTACATCATTATTTCTAATTATAGACCCTCTAGTGAACATCTCCATGATCAAAGAGAGTTTCTAAAATAAATATTCTATTTTTATAAATTCTAAAACTTTTTTCTCGAGAAAACCCAGAAATAGTACTATCGTTATTTTAACCCCGGACGTGATTTTCAAAAGGCTCTTTAATTATGATTGTTTTATAAGGTATTTATTTAACCTACCATATCAATTTCATTTAATCGGCTGATAATCTTGGCGAGAATATCATTTGTATTGTCCATAGAACTAATAAAATAATTTATAGTATGAATCTATACACTCGGGTGCAAAAGTAATGATCCCTGGGTATGAAAATTTTTAAAAAGTGATTATTTTGAAATGGAAAGGGTAAATGATTTACCTTCTTTTTCATAATCAAAATTCACAATGTTAAGATACTTTCCAAGGAAAAAATTTTCCCCAAAATTCCAATCCCGTGAATTTCTCTCAACTCTAAGTGGATACCTCTATTTTTAGGGTGGTCAAAAGTAATGATCCCTAGCGTGAACCAATAGTAAAAATATAGGTAAAAATTTGAAAAAATTCCAGTGAATACATTCATCGATATTAGTTACAAAAACCTAAAGATCGAGCACATTAACTATATACAACACAGTAATCTCGACAATCTAAAACACTTAAAAGTCAACGTATAATGGGATTAGAGTTGTTTGAAAAATATTTTCGCACCTCACATCAGTGATTAAAATTTTCTTTTATGCTTGCCTGAAAGCCAATAAAATTTGCTATAAAATACTTCCAATCAACTTTCCAGAAAAAAATTTATCTAACAAGTTGTGGAGCAACGAACATGCAAGGCGGCAAAAAAGGACCATTTATGGGGTAATATGAGAGATTTTTGCCGCCTTGTATGTTCTTCACTCCTCAACACGATAGATAAATTTTTTCAGAAAATTTGAAAGACTATATCTTGTAGCAAATTTTATTGGCTTTCAGGCAGGCATAAAAGTGTAACTAATTCCTATATCAAAAAGATAAAAATAATTTTTGAAATAAATTACCCCTATTTCTCGTTGAAATCGAGATGTCAATATCTCGAAGAAAAGAGTAGATATTGGACCAATCTTTTCATAAGTTAACTTCTTATTACTAGTCATCTTTACTAAAATTTTTGTGGATTTTTTTCTTAATGGTTAAACATATTTTTTAAAAAGGGATCATTACTTTTGACCACCCTAAAAATAGAGGTATCCACTTAGAGTTGAGAGAAATTCACGGGATTGGAATTTTGGGGAAAATTTTTTCCTTGGAAAGTATCTTAACATTGTAAATTTTGATTATGAAAAAGAAGGTAAATCAGGTACCCTTTCCATTTCAAAATAATCACTTTTTAAAAATTTTCATACCCAGGGATCATTACTTTTGCACCCGAGTGTATAAACATGAACGATTAAGATGTTATTCTTTTTAAATCCTTTATAACGTGAATGTGTAAATTAACGGAGATTGGCGCATAGGATATACCATATATAAAGAATAAAATGAAACTAATTGGTATACATAAATAATCTGCACACTATAAGAATTGTTTCCGCATGCAACTAAATGAAAAAATGAAGCTAATTTGCCAGAAACATGAGTTTAGTCTTATATTTTACTATAGTTGGTTCATATTCTAATATAAAAAATTAACCTGTAATATAATAGGAAATAATAGGGAATTTCTATAATTATCAGTTTACTAATATTAGATTATGAAATCAAATTTCGCAATGATAGACATCCAACCTAGGTTCTAGACAAATGCGCATACCTCCAATTAAGCCTTAATTCTCAATTTCCTTCACACGTTTTGATTAAAAGGACTAAATATTTAGAATAATGGCGTAAAATAATGCTGCCGCACTTAAAAAATGAAAGACTCTCATGAGACTAATTGGACTATTTGAAACCGACAATTTAATAATGAGCTTTTTTTAACCAGTCTTTAAATTGCCGGAGAAAGGAGGATATCTAATGAAAGAAACATACGCCATATGATTTCTAAGTAATAAAATAGGTAAGCCAAGTTTTAATTCAAGCGATGACGAAAAAGTTTACTAACAATAAATTTCTTTTTTAAATAGATTGCCAAAACATCGAAAGTCAGATAAACCCGAGTGTGAGTTTGATTAAAAGGCAACAACAGGTAGTAATTGGGATATTATTTAGCACGTTTGCTGAGCTTAATACCCGTTTACCTTAAAAAGAATTGCCGGCACAGCCGACTCATCGTTGCGCCATTTTTTAACGCATATTCCCCTTGGGGCAGAAAATGCAAAACGAGTCATAGCTTTTTATGAAAGGATAACAAGAATATGATGAGAAGATTGCGCCAGCAAAAGCGGTTTTTAAGAAGGTTAGGGGACTTCTTAAGGGGATAATGAGGTCAGAAAAATGTAATGAAAAATGGCCCCAATTAAAGAAGAAAAACTGAATAAATAAAACTTAAATGAACAAATTAAATGTAAAAAAAGTAAAACAAAAATATATTTGCGTTGCACGAAACTCTAGACTTGAAACACTTAAAGTTTACTTTAATAAATTTGAAAAAGTGTCTATACTTTATTAAAAATAAAGCATTTGATTAAAAATAGAATGATTTACCCCTCATATATTAAATTAAATCTGTTTTCCTGTCAAGTGGGCGGGCATATTCTCTTGCGTAGCATAGATCAACTCTCGAACCGCTCAGCACTTAAAAAAATCAGAATCGCTCAGCACTTAAAAAGCGCAGCAATGAGCCTAAGCTGTAGACAGACCGCCCATCCCATCAAAATGACAAACCACTTTGGAGTAATCTGTAGTTGGGATATGAAAGACCCAGCGCTCAAATTCGATTGGAGGTGGTAGTACGCATAGCACCGGTAAATTGAAAACACAAACGATGGTTGATGGCGGGTAAAATAAACAGGTAAGAGAAGAGGTAATGTGGAATGTTCAATAGAGATTGCGGATTGGATTTGACTGTTGATGCGGGAAAATGGAGAAAGACTTGGCTCGTGCAAACAAACATAGGCGGCCTTATTACCAATTCTTTAGTTTAGCCAATGAGAAACTTTCCATTCTTGCATCCCTCAACAAACATTATTTACCACTTTTTGATCTGCGTACCCTTCGATAAAATTTCGCTCAAATCAATTGTTCGGAAAGATCAAACCATAATCTGCTCTAGATTATTGTGACTTCAATTGTTAAAAATTAGAAAATTTTTATATACTTAGAATATAGCTGAAATTGGATGTATTAATGTTTGGCTTAAAATCCTTAGAACCTAGGCAATTATCCACTTCACTAATCATATTCGAAGGATGAAGCCTTATTAAGAACAAAAGGTGTAAACTACGTAACTTTCTTTTTCAAATAAACAATAAGTTTACACTTGATATAATCTTTTTAAAATTTTGCTTTTGAGTATTTTTCAAGTATATGTATAGTAATTTTAGTAAATCTGGTAGAAAATGAAAATTTTTAACACTTAAATCTTTAACTGAAACAAAGGTATATACTATAAAATTCTCTTAAATACGGAACTTGGAGTTTTTGTGTTAATTAACTTTGTAAGATTTACCAAGCGTAAGTAAAATAAGTTATATGATTATAGTTGAATGAGAATAGAAATTATACTAGACGCGCATTGTCTTATGCTAGATTTTATTAAAGAAATGGTTAAATAAAATAACTATAAAACCATCCAAATTAAGTGCTCAAATTTAGGTCAACAATCTTCCTTCTTGACGTACTGGAAATACAGATTCATAAAGTGGTCTCTAAAAATATTTTTCCTTTCTCGATAAAACTCAACACCTCTTTTTTACCTAAATAAATCCCTCATCTACTTTTCTTTCCAAATGGTGAGTTGATTAAGTACGCTAATGGACTTTTCTTTCGAATATTCAAGCATACAAGATGCAGAATGAGGATGTTGATGTGAGACGACTGTCATAATTGGATTTCGATTTTTCACTTGCATACTTAATGATTTTGAACTAAAAATAGGAAGAAGAAAACATCAAAACGCCGGCCACGGAAGATGTATGTATGGTGTTCGAATAGAATAAAACGATGTTTCAAACTATTAACCTTTTCAATAGCGTATGTTTTTATTAAAGTTTTAAGTCTGTGCATCCCCAAAACTATGTGCAATTATAACCAAGTGCCGTCAACAAAATAACGGTGCACACATCGGCGTTAAGTGGAATGAGAACAAACAAGAGCAAATAAAAATAATACATTGAGTTTCGCTGCTGAAACTATTTACAATTCTCTCGAACCTCGCGCGCAATTTTCTCCTCCGATAATAAAAATAATAACTCACTGGGCAACAATAGTAGGCAGACCATTTTTCGCGCAAACTTACTTAAGTAATGTACCTATTGCATAGACCGGATAAAATTATTTTTATAAACAAACTCGATTTTTGTGTGCAATAGAGCGCAACCACTGCGAAATGTTGACTAGGACTATAAATGGAATTTCTACCTAGAATTTGGATGATCAGCTATTTTGAGGATAATAGAAACTGTAATTTGTTTTACTGGAAATCTAGTTAAAATAGGAAATATCAAAACTGCTAACTACCAAACGAAATTTGTCGAGGGAAAATTTTCAAAACTTAATTTTCAATAAAAGACATTACATTTAAATACATATACATAAAACCCACAACCTGTATAACTTGTGTAGCTTGCTAGGATGCCTCTTGTTTCCCATCACACAATTTTGGAACTGCAGGCGAAAAGTTGGCAGTAAAATAAAAAATTAAAATATCATTAGAAAACGAATCCTCCAGATTGACTTATATCCCAAGATATACACTTTAATTCCTTCAAATCCTCTCTAATTTCTTCAAATCCTACTTAAATTTTGAAGAAATCAACGAAAATACATCGATTTCTAATTATTTTTGAGCATTTTTTTCTCTAAAAATTTTTCCACTAAACCCCCGTACCCCGACCCGAACCCCGGCCATATTTTGCTCCCCCGACCCGAACCCCGCCCCGAAACAATTGGAAAACCCCGTACCCCGACATACCCGCCCCCGAGCGTTCGGGGTACAACCCTAGTTACAACAAAGGTGAAAAAGAGCAAATACCCTCAATATAAGTTTTAAAAATTAGAAACTGATGAGACTCGACGGCATCTATTTTATATTTTAAATATGTAAGACAATCTAATAATTTTATAATTTATTAATTTAAAAATGGCATAAAATTAAACCGAATAACATATTTTCGAGGCAAGTAAGAAACATAAAAAGAATATTCATATAATTTTTTTTAGAAATTTGTCAGGAACAATAACGGCAAGAGAGAAATAATGAGATAAAAATCCTAAAAAGTATATTTATATGTTTATCAAGAAAAAGGAAAATGCTTTGAAACGTTTAAAAAAACATTTGAAAAATGATTTTCTTAGGGTAACGTAATTGAAAATAAGCTAATTTCAAGTTTCTAAGCATTAAACAAGAGAGACGGCAAGAAATATAAATAGTATGGTATGATTTGGTAATCACAAACTGAAACTAATCAGCTTTGGTCGTAAGTTATCTCAAACATATTATAAAAAAGACCAGACAAAAAATATTGAATATTGACTTTGTTGCTTCCGTTATATTCATTGTCAATGGAATCGGGGCTGTCCAGAAACTAAATTATTATACAATTTAATTTTAATCATATAACAAACAAGGAACAGCTGGCAAAAACGGGGCAGTTGGCAAAAGATATGGATTAAATTGTGGAGCGGCATAAAGTGGCATCCCGAACGCAACAGTTGTAGGTGTACATTTAAAACCACTATTGGCAGAATTTGAAATAGCAGTAGTTTCAGTTTTCTGTCGCTTTGTTGTACTTCCTGTAGAGGTGACTGATATATATGGATTAGTGTTGTTCACCTAAGAAATAAAGCTAGATTTTAATTTTAAACTTAAAATTTCTGACTAAAAACAGCTGTGCCGGAAATATGTTTTCTGGTAAAGTGAGTTAAATTAACATTTAGCGAAAAGGCAGGCAGCTAGCGCCATAATTAAATACATATGCATAAAATCAAGGAAAAGTATGTAAATTAATAAATAGAACACCCAAAACAGCTAATAAATGCGAGCGTAGTATGAATACCAATAAATACCGATGCAGCTGCAACAGCAGCCATAAATTGCATATGCTGTTGTTGGCCGGAAATAGAACTGCTACTAGATCCGGCACTTTCATTAACATTCTGTGCTAGCAAAACATTTGCATCATTTGGATTCTGTTGATCTAACCCTGCCATTCTAGAGCTTCTTTTTCTATTTCCTCCTAATAATGCTGGCTGTTGTTCAATGTTGTCATTACCGTTACTCGAAGATCTAGTGGCTGTTGCTTGTAAAACTGTTGCGGCGTTTAATTGTTGTTGTTGTAAAAGAGCAATATATTGCTGTTGTGCAGCCTGTTGCTGCAACAACATAGCTGCGGCCGCTGAAGGTTGTTGCTGCTGCTGTTGAATAAGTGCCAGCTGGGCAAGTGTTGTTGCATGATGTAAAGGAAAAGACGATGCAATGGAAGGAAGATGAGCACCGACAGAAACGGTTTGCTATAAGAAAAAGCAAAAAGCGAATACAGCTAACAAATCACATAAAACAAAATGCTAATAAGTGAAATAAAATGTAAAAATTATCTTGTTTGTTGTGTGTGCAATTAGTAAGGAATTTGATAACAAAAAATACTTTATCATAAATATAAAGCACACAAAAATTAGGCAAATTTTTGTGAGAAAGCTTTGTGTAAATAAAAGCCATGAGGAGAATTAATTCGGATAAAGAAGGGTGTTTTACTTAAGTTAAATTTTCCGTCTGAAATAGATTAATAAACAAAAAAACGTGACTAATAGCGGAAAGTTTTTCAAAGTTTCAGGCTTTCTGGGAAGTATCAACCCCCTAAAAAATACATAGGTACATATTTCAATTAATATTAAATATGACAGATAATAAAAAATTTTTAAATGACATACCGTGCCTTGAAATGCTGCAGAAAATGGATCAGGCACCGGCGACAACAAGTTTGCCTGACCCGGATACAGACTTGGAATAAAATATGGTAATGAAAGAGTCGATTGCAACGCTAACGGGTTGCTATACTGCTGTTGCTTAAGATAAAGAGTTTATCGTGATGATTACTATTAGTGAGTTCAAAAGAAACCGTAATCTGTGCAAGAGCAGGCATTGCCGGCATCTGATTTGAATATTGCTGTGATAATAGATTTTTCATCACGAGATTTTGTTTTCCATTCGCAAGTAATTGATCTTTCAAATGTTGAGGTGGATGCTGAAAAATAAGAGATTATGTAAATATTTGTTTTATCTCTAGAATACATATCAAAAGGAAAATATAAAAAAAAACTTACAAGATATTTGCATTTGGGATTTTCGCGAGAACAACGCCCCTGAAATTAAGAGATATTTAAATAGTTCACGCTTTACCCCATAACCCAATATACTTAATCTTAATTTATAAAATATACTTAACCTTTATGGAATCAAAACAAGCCGTCACACGTCCATTCTGTATTTCAACATTCGATGGTGGATGAGCATATTTACAATCTTGTTCTGAACGAACGCATTGCCCTCGTTGATATTCTCTACAAATTTCGAGCTGCAACCAACGTGAGTCCTTACCAGTCAAAAGTTGTGTTAGTTGTTGTTGACTTTGGTTTAGTTGTAAAGATAATTGAGGCATTACTGCCGGAACAGAACCCGTAGATACGTTTGTTCCTCCTGCACCCGCATTTGAGTTTAGCATAGCGATTGTAAGTGCAGCAGCTGCAGCGCTTACTGACGGATTGATAATAGCAGCAGCAGTTTGTTCGTCGAACATATTTGTTATAAGTTGTGTAGAAGCAAAAAGTAATTAGTATGCTAATTGTAAGCAAAAGCCAACTCTAACCAGAGGGACAATCAGGGATAGACTGAAAAATATATGAAAATTAAATTAGAAATTTAGGTTTGAACAATCCAGATTTAACTTATATTGCATGACCATTATCCTAGATAAACACATATAGTATAAAATATTTCACTAAATTTGAACCCTTTACTAAAAAATTTTATTTAAGGAAGTGCTCTAAAATTTATTAAGATGAAGCTCATGCAAACAAAATGGTAATGAGTCCTTTCAAAAGCTATAGGCACATTCACCGAAGAGGTAGACCAAAAAAGCGGAAAAGGAAAACGAATGAGATGCGTTGAGGGTAATGAATGGGCCAAGTCAAAATGAGAATGAAAAACAGAGGATCGTTAAAAGGGAGCTAGCAAAAACTTACTGTGGATTTTTTGAGAACAAGGCTTGAAAGCACCACTTAAAATGAATTGGCAAATTTTTTAGAAAAACTAATAAAAACCAACTTAAAATGTCAGTGCCGAAGAAGCAAGAAGCAAAAATTGAACATAAATTATTCTATAAAAAATCTGAAATTAAAATTTTGAATTAGGGATATTTTACGATTTTTCAGATTTTTGAAATTAGGCCTTATAAAATTCTATAAATACGTGTTGGTATATCTCGCCTCGAAGACTTTAAATGGAAAACAATGCTTAAAATGTTAGGAAAAATAGAATAAAATCGAATAAATCAAAAATCGCAGTAATGATTCAACACCCCCTAATTTGTCAGCAACTGTCCCTTTAGAAAGAAAATATATTTTGTGCGTGGAAGTCAAGGTCGCGATCGATTGATTGCCGCCACAGACGGACTGGCTCTTCCAATGAAGAATTGGAGTTGGAGAAAATAAAAAAGAAAAATACATATATGTATGCACCTATATTGAATGTAATAAAATCACTCTTGTTGATTTTATATTTTAGGGTTTAAAATCTTTAATTTTTAGTTCAGGATCAAACAAAATGAACCTTATTTATCGAAAAAATTAACCTGGCATTTGATATTTATGGAAAATTGTTACCCTTTCTCCCTTTACTAGCTGCCTTATAGTATTTAGATTTTTTGGATCTTTTTTGGCCTTTACGCTTTTGAGAAATGGTATTGGTCAATTTATTTTGTTACTCACTGGCTGGTAATTTAGCCGAATTTTTTGTCGTTAAAAATGACAAAGAAATTTAAAGCAAATGCGGTAGAAAAAATACTTCCAACAACCCACCAATCTTTGCTGAAACACGAATGCCATTGCTTACTAACCTCATCACTTTCCATTCTCCTTTTTTTTGCTTTCCGCTCTCGAGGGTATCATCTCTGAAACCAAATGACCCTAAAAACAGGACCAAATTTAAGCACTTCCTTTTCCTAAAAACAAAAGCCTTTCAAAATATACATACACACAAAGGTTTTTTGCCATTCGAAACAAAATAAATTTAAAAAACTAACTGTTTTGTTATATACTTACTATTGTTATAGGATTCCTTTCCTTAAAATGAATTGTTTAATCAATTCTTAAACTGGATATCTTTCCAAATTCCCAAATATAAATTGCATGAAATCTTCGGGTGGTGGGCTATGATATAGAAAACAATTGCAAACAACGGCATCTCTTTCTCTCTCAATTCGTGTCACTGCAAACCAAACGGATGCATACGCTTTTTGGCCAAATTGCCCTTGGGGACCAACGTTGGTCTCCTTTTTATGATGGGCAAACGACCAACGAAAGCATTAAGAAAAAAATAATAAAATGGTTGTAAAAGAGCCGACCAGAGCCAAAATCCGGGCCTAAATTCTACCAGCCCTTCTAAAATTATTTTCATTGTATAGAAAAAAATATTCAACTGCCGCCATATTGCTTTTACTCTAAATGAGCGCCACACACAATAATCCTGTAATCCATTCTAATTTAATTTTATACTACCGACTTAAGAATGTAATTATTTTGTAATTTAGTATAGATATCCTAGGGGAATTTTATTCACGCACATCCCTCTTTGTATATCAATTCATTCTTTTACCCACTATTTTTTGCCACAAATGCTCATATATATGAAAATGCATTAATTTGGTTTTGGTAGGGCGTTAATCCATTTTTTTGGGTTTTCTAATGCAAAAGCTATATAAAATTACTATCTAAAAATAAAATTCTTGGGGAAGAGGAAAATTAACTTAATCTTTTTCTAAAAATTTTGCAATGAATTTCAAAATTTTATAAAATCTTTGAAAGAATCAAAAATAATTTCATTTCAAAAGTTTAGTAAGATATTAAAATTCAGTTTAAAAAATTCATAAAAATGAAAAAGTTAGAATATGCCAACACGGCAGGGAGATGTACCGGGACGGACATTCGGATCGCTGTGAGATAATCTCTACATGTTTAAGTTAGTTCAAAACATAAAAACTCCTTTCTTCAATAGGAACCCAATGGCCGTAGGTTCCGAAATTGAATATATTGAAATATCCCGATATGTCCGACCCTATATGTTTAGCTCCCGTCAAAATTTAAAAAATAATAAAATTCTTACATTTCTACATCACCTTTTTACATATTTATTGCATCATGTTATTTCCATTAGTGGATTTTTTGCGCCCTCTCGATGATATCCTTGGTTTAAATTCTGTTATTGTAAAGTTTTTTCCATCAACAGTCACAATCGTTTTCTTAGCTGAACTACGCACTACAAGAGAATCTCGGAATGTCATCCTTCTATGCAATAATGAATTTTGCTGCTTTCCTCCATTTGAATAGCTACCAGATTGCAAAGCTGTTTCATTATTATTTACAAAGTTAGAACCAGTACTTGAATAGGGGGTAGATAAAGGATCTGGTGAACTCTGAGCTTCGGCATTCCTTTGTTTTCTTAAAATAAAATTTTTAAATCTTATAAATTTAATAAACTTTTGGGTACTTATTGGTTATCCCAAAGTAGTTTTTGCGGACATTTTATGCGGACTCATTTATGTACGAAAAGGTCAAATGTTCTCCATTCCTCAATTTCACTCAATTTTCTCTGTGGCATTTTTCAATGAGGCATCAACTTAAAAATCGGTCATTTGTATTTAAAATTAATCTTTTCTTTATTGATGCCCTCATTGATAAATGCCACAGAGAAAATTGAGTGAAATTGAGGAAGGGAGAACTTTTGACCTTTTCGTACAAAATGAGTCCGCATAAAATGTCCGCAAAAACTACTTTGGGATAACCAATAAGTACCAACTTTTGCATAGAAGAGGATTAAGAATATTTTCTTTAAAAAATTAAACCAAAATTCTAAAAAATAGATCATTTGTCATATATGTATTACTGGGATTGTCAGTGTTACAATTAGAGAGAAGTGAAAAATATAAGCTCAACAACCCTATTACTTATGCTAAAATTATTTATAGAATACAGACTTCTGCCTTTCAACTTCAACAGCTAATTTCTGCACGAGTGTTTGCTGTTGTACAACGGATGGATTTAGTCTGGGTTTCCTCGTCGAAGTACCCTTGCGTGTATCACACATCAAACATTTGAACGCCTCCTTGAATTTATAACAGATATTAAACTTCAAAATAATAATAAAGTGACCTGCTTATTTTGAAATGTGCAAACTAAACTTATAAATTTGTTTGAGTTAAAAAAGTATAAGAACCTGTACATTCCCAGTGCCCAAATTGCTCTTTGTTTTTTCTTTCGCTGTCCTCACGATCATACATTGAACTTCTACTGCTGTCATCATCCTCATTATCACTATGTGCAGTATTACTTAAAGATTTACGAGATTTTTTTGAATTACTTGACATCGCCTAAAATGATTGCCCAAACATTTAACTATGTTAATATATATTAAATCAAGCACAATATTAATATGTGAATAAATAATCTAACAACTGAGAAAGAATAGAAATATTTAATATGCAACTTTAACCATTTAATACTTGTATAAATAAAACTTTTATCACTTTACAGAATAACCAAATCCTTAAAATTTACATGGATTATGAACCAATCAACATTAAACATACAACATATATAGACCTCCACCAATTATTGAACTTTATAACTCATCAGCAACAAGTTCTGGTGGCAAGGGGCTCTGAATTTTAAATTTTATGTTTATATTTTGAGTTGTAACCTTAGGATGCTTCGATTCAAAATGCTGCTTATACGTCTTTGGATCCGGCATAGTTGCCTGAAAGTAGATGTAGTTATTATTAGAAGTATTTATAAATTAAAAGTGAAACCATGCAAACAGTGCACTTATATGTGAGCGCTTTAGCTGCAGCCGCCTTCTGATTGATCCCCGTACTTTTCTTCAGCTGTTGTTGCTTAGATTGATTCTTTTGTTGAGACAAGGCTTTTTGATGACCACGCGCCATTATAAACTATCAAAATTCGATTATATAAAAATAAGGATGACTAATTGTAAGATTAAAATAGAATACAATGCAATATAAAATACATATTATGAGAAGACAATCATTAAAAAATTTTTATAATGGATGAATTAAAATAAATAACGAGCTTACAATTAATCATTGGATTCCTAGCGAATATTTCGAAACTCTCATAGTAAAAATTTTAAATTAACTCAAAGTTAATGCAAGCTCGCTTTCAACAATTAAAAACAAAACTCATACCAGAAAATATTTTCAAAAAATCAAATAATTTCACAAATTGCTCCTGCCTTTTCCAGTTGAATTTTTAATTCTTCCGCTTCTTTCATACCCAAATCTGTCTTGATCTCAATTGGAAATGATTCAACAAGCTTCTTTGCCTGAACTAGGTTCAATCCTTGAACACATGCTTTAACTTCCTTAATCAATGCAACCTTCTTCGATTCATCGTACTTGCTCAGTTTCACCTATGAATAAAATAAACTTATTTAAATGTAAAGTAATAAATCAAACCGCAAACGACGTTTTAGTCGGCGCATCTTCTTCCTTCTGCGCAACTGTTCCTGCTAAAATAAGAATAAAACAAATGTGAAGCAAGCAATACCTTGACTCATTTGCGGCGTAGAAGGCACTCCTGACATTGGAAACATTTGTTGGTCACTAATATTGAGCCGCTTTTTGAGAGCATAATTGAGGTCACTCACCTGGGATAAAATACTTTGATTTTAATAACTTTAAATATGGATCAGGTTTGTTAAAATTATGTAATGGGCAAACTAATCTCCCACACCCAATCTGCCTAACATCTTGAACCACTTAAAAAATTAACCTGTTACCTCAAGTAATGACAAAGAAGCAATTTCATCGACAAGTTTTTCAATCTGCGAAGAAACTCGTCGCTCATTAACTTTTTTAGGAGCAGAATCTTCTGGAAGAGTACTTTCCACAGCAGATGCAGCAGAAGAAAAAAATCTAGAGCCATAAGGCTTGCTAGATTGTAGAACAAAATTAGCATATCTGATGAGCATTTCTACCAATATAACTACAAAATCTCATAAAAAAACAAATAAATATTAAGTATAGATATTTCTTCATATTTCATGAGAAAAATTTGGATAAACAAGTGTCAATCTAACATAACAAACATTTATCATTTGACAATAACAATAATCGGAAGATAATCCGTTCCATTAACTTTATCAATTAATCTCATCATGAAACCAAAGCTGAAGCAGTAGATGATTCATATTTCCATGTCGGTGGAAGCATACGTTTGGTCTTGCAGTAACGAGCCAAGCGATGAATTCTAGACTCAACCAAAATCAGACGATACCTGAAAATAATAGAAAAGTAAAACAATACAATCATAAGAAAAACAAACTTGGAGTCGATATCCTTGCGAAAGCGCTCCAAATGTTTACGAATGCTGACAGCTTTCTTTATTAAATGATAGAGATCTTCAGGAATCTCTGGTGCCATTCCCTGAAAAAAAGGAAATTGAAGACTCAAATTATTAGAAATAACCTTTGATCGAAGAATACGAACAATCTTGTTACCAGTGATACGTCTAACTTGTGCCACACCATGAGAGTCACGAAGAATAACACCGATCTGAGATGGGCGAAGACCTTTGCGAGCCAACTTAACGATTTGTTCCTCAACATCCTGACTAGTCAACTTTTGCCAAGTTGGAACAGAACGTCGATATGGAAGAGCAGAACGCGATATACCCTTTCCTGGATTGTGCATACGACCCATCCTTGTTTGCAAAGCTAACTTGTATTTTTAATTTAATAAATCTAAAAACGTGTTTATTAGCAAAATTTTAGCATTCAATGAACAAATAAACCTCGAAAAAATATTTTACTAAAAAACGGGTTGACAAAACGAGTTTAACTCACAATTATTTAACAAAATGATAGACGACAATTCATCACACAGAACAAAAACCTACAATTCGCCCCACTGAACAAAAACTCCAATTCGTCCCATTGAATAAAACCCTAACATTTGTGGCGCCACCATACCTTGAGAGTTTAATAACTTTAGGTATCAACTAATCACTTAAAATTTCAATTCTTTGAAATTATGAGCACAGCATTACAGCGTTTTGCCCGCTCCGAAGTTGAAGCACATGTAGACGAAAAATCCCTATGGATTATTTTGGACAATAAAGTTTATGACGTCACGAAGGTTGGCTGATTTTTTTCTTTTATTTTAAATTTCATTATTAATTAGTTTCTGCTTGAACATCCTGGAGGTGAGGAGGTGCTCATACAGTGGGCAGGTCAGGATGCTACCGAAAGGTTAGTTTTTATGACAATTTTACAACATTAATTTTAAAATATTCGTATTTAGTTTTAATGATGTTGGCCATTCAGCCGATGCTCGAGCAATGACAAATGATTATTTGATAGGGGAATTAAGTGACAATGATAGTGCAACGACAACTATACCACTACCGCCGGAAAGCGCGCCAGAAGCAGAATCCTGGAAGCAAATTATGACTAGCTCGGTTTGTGCTATTTAGTCACCTAGACACTATAACTGTCAATAAAATTTCGCAACAAAAACTGGTGACTTTCTTTTTTCCAATAAGATTAAGTTTTCTAAAATAATTACTTTTTTAGACTTGGACAAATTTTCTGATTCCTGTTGCATTGTCAGTTGGTGTTTTTATGATTTACAAGTTTAGTAATGCAGCTTATAGACGTATGTTTCTCTGATGAGCCAGAATATTATAGACATTTTTATTTTAAAACATGAATGACAAATCGTGATAAATATAAACAATATACTTATTTTTTGGCTTCAACCATTATAATATGGTAACCAAAATTCGTTTTGACTGGGGGGTCTGTGTACGTTGGTGTGGAAATTGAACTTATTGGAAGAGCAAAAGCAGCATCTTGGAATGGTCCAACCATAGAACCCCGAGTCATCCAACCAAGATCACCCTGTAAAACGAGAAGATAAATTTTCAACGAAGACAAATTAAGTTTCGAAAATTAACATAAACTGAACACCCCGCTTACATAGGCCAATATTGCTGAAAACAAAGAGGACTTCCCAATATGTACTTATTAAAATATAAACTAACTCCAGAACGGGCTTTATCCTCGCTGTATTTGCCAGCTACCAGATTGAAGCTTTCTCCAGCTTTAAGTCGTTCTATAGCTTCCAAAGCCTTTGAATGTTTTTCACATAAAATATGACGCACTTTGATAGATGTATACCCTGAACCGCCATCCTTTTTGCCTTTGTCCTTTTTATTGCTAGTTGGTTTATTGTCTGATCCACTGCCCTTCTGTTTATTTGATGGCATTAACTAGAAATTAAATTGGTGGCATGATTTATATAATCAATTTAAATGTAATCAAAAATTTTCATCAGAATTTTTTAGATAAAATAAAAACAAATTAATGTAAAATATTTATTTTATAATCCAAAAAACTTTAATATATATTTACATTACAAATCCCAGAGCTAAATCATTTATTTAACCAGAATTTTTTCAAGTCTCGTTTATTTCGCATTGCTTCTCCCTCCTCTTCCATAATTTCTTCTAAAGCAGACTTCCTCTTATGACTAGCTAAAATATTAAAACAGTTCAAGAATTCATATGATTAAAAAACCTTTATTATCGCGTAAGTTCGTTTGAACAGATGAGGAAGTCGATGAGGAAGTCGAAGGCTGCATGGTCTTTTCCTTGAAATTAGAGGAAGATTTAGCATTGAGCACATTCGTTGGAGTACAAAGAGCAGAAAATGCTGCCTTGGTTTCAATTAAAGGTTTCTTTCCACCCAATGAGAAGGTAATTTTTGATTCATCATTTCTTATCAACTCTTGAGGCTCTCTTTTTTCTGGTTCATTGTCGCCCTGCAGTTGACGTGCTCTAAAAATAAATTTAAATGAATCTGAGAAAATCATAACAAAAAAATTTCTGTACCACTAAAAAAATTTCCTTAATTCAAACCTATCAATTTGTCGTTGCAAATGGTCATTCATTCTTTCCTCGTCATCCTTCTCTTGTTTAGCTCGTTGTTGCGATTTTTGCTTCTTCAATTCTTCTTCTTGGTTAATATAAGTTATAAACCACCCTGAAGAATTTTGATAAAAATGGACAGAATTCAAAAAACCTTTTTCATTTTCTTCAATTTTACATTTTCCAGATTTTCCTAAATAAACGACAAATCCTGTAAGAGTATGCCAAACAGTAGAGTTCATATGAATATGGCCTTTGTCTTTTATCTAAGATTAAAAATGTATTTTATTTAAAATCCTTAAGAGTTCACGTACATATTCTTGATAAACATCATTAGCTTTCACCCTCTTACCACCAAAAGAATGACGAAGAATCTTTAAATGTATAAAAATTAAAACAGCGCAGTTCAGTTCCGAATAGCTCATGAAGGAATGGTCATTTCTTCATGTTATTGGTACCATTGGATAGAGAATTAAATGCTCTAGTTGATTTCAAAAAATGTGATTTTCAGCACTTTATCGATCATAATTTCTAAATCAAATAGTCGAGTTTTGATTTTTTGGAAGCTTGTAGTGTAATTTCTAACCAATAGTACCAAGAACAGTGAAAATTTTAGACCCCTTGATAAGTTAAAGGTGCCGGGACTGAACCGAGGTAAAAAAAATTAAAATATCTAAAATAAATCACAAACATGTAAAAAATTAGCCTCAAATTCATGACTAAATTGTCGTAGATAGGAATTTTGGTTTTCTGCAAAAAGAAGCATTTGCCGTTGGTGGGCTTCGCTCATAAGATGGCATTTGAATCCATTCTGATCCCGGCATTGTTTCTGACACATCTGACAGAACCATTTAAGTTTTTGAAGTCCTTTCGATTTGTGACGATTAGCAATTTCTTTAGGAGTTCCCTTCTCGTGTTTTGGCATTATTTCTATGGAATCTGTAAATTTCTAATGTAGATTAAAAATATTAAAAGCTAAATCAGATATATTAAAAAAAAGAGAAATACTCGTCTTTCCTTTTCTTAAAAATTTATATACTTTAATGTCCTGGATCATTTGTCATTGGTTGTCAGATAAAATCTGAATTAAACACAAAATACGATCACGGTTTACTTTTGGGAAGGAAAACAAACATGTATAGGGAAATAATTTAAAAAATCGTTTTATGATAATTTAAACAAGTTCGCCAAACAATTCATCCACTTCTATGTTTCTTATAGTTGGCATTATATATTGTTGAGCGTCTTATCCTATTGAAGAAATCAGCGATTTGATATTTAAACTGTCTGGTGTGAAGAGAATGATGTGAACGTCCACTGACTAAGGAGGAAGATGGGAGGATATCCAAAGTGAGAAGAGTTGGTGGAATTGCCGAAGTATGTAAAAATGCAACACCTAAATATAAATGAAACGAATAAGGTAATCTAATTATAGCTTACCCCTTTGCCTAGCATGCCTAATTGCATTACTCTTTTGGCATATTCCAGATTTCTGGTGGTGTTCATATCCAGGGCCATAAGAATTAAAATTATATCAAAAAATTAATTATTTATAACTAGTACCACATTCACAACGACCAAAATCACATATCTGCCCATCCAATGAGCGGCATTCAATATCCGAACGGCAATCTAAAATATCCTTTCAATTTTGCTTTTGATACTTACTCTTTGATCTCCATAAACAATCACAACTTTGGCAGCCATTTGGATCAATTACAACGCCACAATTTCGTCCACATATTGGAGGAGAATCACAACTTTTTAATGTTGTCCGTTGCATTGTTTGGGGTTTTCCCAGAGGCGTCCATGATCCATGACTCGGTACGCGTTGTGTTGTTCGCGAAAGGCCCTTCAGAAATTGCATCTTTTGCTGAGGGATTTTTGTTGTCTTCAATGCTTTTGTTGTTATCGGCCTGAGATATTAAAATAAAATTTAGAAAATAAATTAAATAACCAAAATGTTGTAGTAGTTTTACTTTGTCCATCACAGTTTTCATTATCACAATCCTTCTTTTCGTCATCAATGTTTTCAAAACTTTCCAAAGAATTTAGAGGATATTGTTCGGTTACTCCAGTTGTGCCTGAATTTATTTTGTGAAGAGAAACTTGAGGATTAAACCTGTTTGAATTTTTGGTGTAGGAGTGAAGCCTGAACATTTAGAGGAATTTAACTTGATATTTAAACAAATTTTACCAGGGGGTTGTGGATTGAAACCAGGAGATGAGACAACATCTCGCTGTAGGTGGATATCCTCGCTCAATAGCTCTCTACTCATTGTTAATGTTATGTCATCAACTCCAGGGGAGCGTTTACCATGTGCAACTGATGTGCCTATTGTTAACTTCAAATTGATTTAAAAAATAGAAATTAATCTATGGGCGGTAAATGATTAACCTTCGCATCGTTGAATACTGTTGGAGCTGTTACAAAATTTCCAAGACCACTCTTCTCAGGTTCAAGGCGTTGTTTTAATTCAGCCTCTAATTCAGACTCGCTGATAGTCAAGTGTGTTACTAAATCTCTTTTCTCCGGCATCGGAGGATGGGACCGCAGAAGTGCTTCAGAAGCAAAAGGATTTCCCTTAAAATAATGATAGAATATACATATTCAAATTGAAATAAACAAACAATTGTATCAAATGGTTCTTCTTCTGATTTAACAATTGGTCGATGATACCTACCGTTTAAATTTATCTATGAATTTAGAAATAAAAACCCCACAGTTTTCTCCTTTGAACGAAAGTGTCAACTCCTTTATCGCTCGTTTCCACATCCCCTACAATTGTACAAATTGTAGACTTGCATTGAAGTCTGCATATTGGTTGACAGCTTTTAAATTGTTCACAATCTATATCGGATCTGCATTCTGCATCAAAAGAACCTTGAATAACAATGCAAAAAATATACTACTCGTTCGTATTCAAACCTGTGTAATGAAGTAAAAATACTATGATAATAAAAATAAGTATAATAAATATTAAAATTTTCATTAAAATAAGGACAGACTTTGATGATAATCGAAAGTTTGTGAATAAGTGAAGGACGAAAAATATCATAAACTCTAAGCACACCCTCCAGGCTCGGAGTGATCAATGGAACTAAGGAAAAAATTAATTGATATAGGAAAATTGATAAAAATGGGCCGAATTTCGATGAAAAAGAATCACATCAATGAAACTTAATCCATTATTAACCAAGTTGTAAAGATATCCGAAAAGAAATATCCTAGTGAAAGTAAGTTTGGATATAACGATTCTTTCATTATTCATAAAATACTTCACGAATAATTAACGCACTTTTTACAATGGGAAAATTAGTGGGCGAAAAATGAATGTGTTACCTGCGCAAGTTCTCAGGTTATTTATAACTCTCTTGACTGAATTTAATACTAAATTGTAATAAATCCAGCTAAATAAAATAAAAGATTTTAGCCTTGAAATATTTAATATTGAAAATTACCAAGTTTAATCATTAAAATGTAAAGAAAATTAGATCCGCTATAATATGTAAAAAAGCGAATCTTTACAGTCAAATATCTAATCTGGGTGATAGAAAGAAAAGAATACAATTTTACTATGTTTTGGGTCAGAAATGCATGGCTGTCAACAAGGGTTTATCGAAAAGGATCTCAATTTATCATCCTATTTATAGCCATATAGTTGGGAGCAGTTTATCCAGAAGACAGCCTTGCATAGAAGCGTTTTTATGGGAGATAGAGATGCTAAAGCATTTATGAAAGCAATTTCATTAAAATCTTGACTCATAATATATCTAGATTCTTAAATACTTATACCGCTTCATTTTACTTTCTGTTTGGTGGCATCGACTGAGTGTGGTGCTTTACCTTAGGAAGGGAATTTAAATTCTTATTCATTTAATAAAAATTTCCTCACCCCAAAGCATTACATTCATTCCATCGCCAATTAAATATAAGAACCAGAAAAGCAAACCAGCCACAGTGATGAGAAAACCAATCTGCTGATTGTCCAAATGATCAAAAATGGGATAAAGCCAATATCCATTAAAGAGACGTGTCGAAAAAATTCTTAATTGAAAAGCATAAATTTGGAAATATTTGTCATTTACTAACATTCCAAGATAGAAAATAAAGAGTGACAAAACAACCAACGATCCAACTCTACGATCAGGAGCATGATGGCAAGTCAGTAGTGTATCAACCAAAAGAAAAGCAATTGGTGCCGTATGGGTAACTAAAAAACGAAAGGAAAATGGTAAAGAACGAGAGCAGGAGCAACAAAAAAAGCAAAAATAAAACCATGATTGAGCCAATGTGGAATCAATTTCGCTACCCAAGCAGGCATTACAAACTCAGAGTTGACAGCATAAAGCGACCTACATAGAACATTTAAACTTTTAATTTAAAATTAAAAAATACCAAAACAAGAGACAAGTTGCCTTAAATTATTAAAATTTATTTCTCATCAAAAATAAAAGTAATACCATTCCAACGGGAAACACTGAAGTCGCATACATAAAATCGCAAATTTTGTGCAATTTAGTGCTGCGCCAATAGCTTGGAACGTGTATTTGCTTTTTATATTGATCCTTATGTCCAAGCTCTGCATTCCAATCAAACAAGGCGCAGAAAAAGCAAATAACAGAATATACGGTTTGAAGTAGCTATTAAAAAATAAAATTTTAGAGAAAAATTTTCAGAACAGAACGAAGAGCCAACCGAAAAGTCATCAGTTCTTCGGTTCGATTCCGCCCCCAACCCTAATAATAACATAAAAGCCATACCAAATTAAGCATACTCAACATTACAAGTTTCTGTATCCAAAGCTGAGAGCCAACTCGAGGAACGAATCGAATGTCATAAAATAAAGCCCCAGCATATACACCAAGCATTATTCCATAAATTAGGACACGAAAAAATCCCATAATAATAATTGGATTCTTATTAAATTTGTAAAATCTAAAAGAATATTATAATTAAGATTAAATGATTAATATATTGAAAAGAAGGCAATTTAAATCAGGAAAATATGAAGTCGATTAAATTTTATAAAATAGAATCTATGGCATATATTAATAATTATAAGTGATTATAGCTAATCCAATTTAATTTTCATTTTTTCTTCAATTTTTTCACTGTTCCACGTTGCTTTGGCAAGATGAAATGAATAATTCTATTGTAAGCATCGGTAACCAAAAATGATGCAAATAGTACAACAATGCATAAAATAATAAAGAAGATTCGCCTAGGTAATGATAAAATTCCGAGAATTGGATATGCCCAAAAATTGTAATAATAGTAGAAGTAATGAATGCTGAAAAGTATGTAAAAATAAAAAATGATAGAAAGAAAACTAACTCAATCAAATAAGCAATCATAAAAATATAAATTATTATAAATGCACTTTTCCAAGTCGGTCTAGAATGACGCCAAAGCAAAAAATCTATTGTCATTGTCAATAAGGGAAGAGTGTGCTGAAATAAAAAATTGAGGTCAACCCTGAAGACCTACAACTCTTGAAAGGGAATATCGGGGGATTTGGAGGGTTTAAGGGGGACATCGATGGATTTGGTGTGATTGAAAGGGATAGAGATATCTACTCACCCAGGTTTATGGTATTAACTCACAACACCGCACCAGTTTCTAAAATACAGAACTGGGTACTTATCTCCATAAAGCTGGGTATTTATCCCCCTTAATCCCTAGGTATTTCCTATGAAAAGTTGTAAATCTCAATCACAGGGTCAATAGGTCATCAGAGATGAACTTTAAAATATACAAAAAAATAACTAGCATACCAAACAATGATTAAACCATGGTGCCGACATAAGAATCTCAGCTTCTTTGTCCAAAAGAAATTGCGGATCCAAATAAACTAGTGCCCAAAAGAGAACAGTGACAGTCTATTGATTAAACATAAGTAAATATAAATTAAAAAATAAAATACCAATCCAACAGGGAAAATTAGCGAGGTCGCAATAAAATGAAGCCCATTAAGTATAATTGAATTGGTTAATCCAAATAAAGCAATAATTGCGGCCAAAGTATTGTAAATTAAATGCAAGTTCTAAAAAACTTGTTAGTTGTTTTACCGCAAACAAGATAAAATTACAAGATTAATAAATGTAAGCCAAACAAATTTGCTCAAATAAAAGCCTGATACTAAAATTAAATAAGCAAAATGAGGTAAAATCGAATTCATTGATTAGCAAATTAAAATCAAACCTGGACATAAGTTGTAGAATACCTCGGTTTGATAGTCGAAATAAAGTGTAAAAGCATAAGAAGCAGCAAAGAGTAAATTTGAACTTTTGAAAAGTACTTGGTAGAGCATTTATTTATAAACTAAAAAGCGGCTGAAAAAGAACAAAATTAGAATGAAGTCGTCAAGACAACTCAAGAAAGATAAAAAAATTACAAACACTCTATCATTGATAAAAATAAAAACATGACAGCGCTTTCCGATAAAAAAATAATAAGTGTTAATAAGTGAAGGCGCCCCAATTCGTCCCATAGGACAAAAACACGCAATTTATCACTACCCAATTCTGAAGTTTTTGTTCAGTGGGACGAATTGCGGTTAGACCGAAATGAGTTGGGATGAATTGAGGTTGGACGGTTTGGTGTTACCTAATTGAGTTGGGACGATTTACTGGTGGACTGGTGAGTTGTGATGAATTGAGTTGAGACGAATTAGAGATGAACCAAATTGTGACAGGACGATTAGGGGATGAACCAAATTGTGTTTTACCTTTTTAATCATAATTTTCGATAATTTTTGATGTTTAATCTCAATTTTTTTTAATTTAGTATTCCAAAAATTCAATCATTTTGGCGAATAAAAACAGTGGATCAAAAAGATGGGCAACACTCTCATACGACGGAGCTTTTCGACTTCACGTAATTGCTTCGATATTGTGACTAATGAACGTGCTCGATTCACATATTGTCAGGATAACTTTGAAAAACTAAAGTAACATTTTTTATTTAATATTTTCTAAAAATTTTATATTTACATAGCTTCAATGTATATCCTTACTATATTGAGCGTGCATGGTGGCAACGAGGTGCAAGAATGACCTTTTGGGCTACATGGCGACAAGCTGCAAATGTACGCCGACGTCAAGCTTTCGCAACTTATGGTTTCTAATTTTTTTTAATTTTCCGAACTGAATTTCCCATAATTTTTAGGACCTGATAGAATGCGCTACAAGGCGATGACTACCAACAATATCCTACCCAGAGCAATAACTGATGAATTCAGGGTTTGATTTTCTGATCAAAATTTAAAATTTTGTCTTTTTTTATTAGGAAAAATTAAGAGCTTTGCCGAAAGACGCACATCCTAAATTGGTCGTTAAAATGTGCATGTTTACAGGACGTTCTCGAGGAAAATTCAACAGTTACCGAGTTAATAGGCATATCTTCCGATTATTAGCTGACAAGGGAAATTTATGCGGCGTTAAGAGAGCAATTTGGGGACGACAATAATTCTGTTATAGTTGTAGTATATTTTTTATATTAATAATTTTATGAATATTTTTTATATCCATTTTTGTGTTTTAACAAGCCATACCTTTTAATGTTTTTATGCTTTAAACATGTTTAACTTTTGTTAACGGCAGATTTAGCCTTCAAAAATGTTGCTGAATCTGATGTTTATCCTGTTGTTTATCATCTCTCTTTTTATTGGTAAGCCTTTTTTCTAGATAATTTACAAATTAAATATGTATTAAGGACTAAATAACGCTCAAGAAAAGGACAATCTTAAAAAGCTTGAAGATTTTCGTCAAGCATTAAATGTCAACCAGGTTTTTTTATATATTAGTACGTTTAACCAATATTTTAAACATTTTTAGTTCTCAAGTCCAGAGAGTCTGCAAAACGGACAGCAACAGAGGCCAATTTTTCGCCTCTCTCCAATAATAGCAACAACAACGAAAATCCAAATTCTCTTAATTTTCTTATTGATTGTCAAGTCAATTTGGTGAAAACAACACTAACAACAATCAATACTTTTATTCCGTCTATGACAACAGAGCAAACTCCGATTTTATTAAACTTTATTAAAACTCTGACTGAACAATTTAACCTTCTTAGTAAATCAATCGATTCACTTAAAGAAAAACAACAAGAAAAACCTTATGGATATTTTTCAGGAACAACAAAATTAAACACTATTTCAGCAGAGGAGCTAGAGCGCGAAAGAAGTGTTGTTGTGACTGGTTTGACGGAATCTACAAAAAAACTTCCATCAGAGAAAATGGCGGATGACTCCAAAACAATAACAAGTTTACTCGACTCGGTGGGGGTTGAGTGCGCACCCAGGTTTTTTTACCGTATGGGACGTCAGTCTAACCCACCCAATAATGGTCATGCCCGTCTTTTAAAGATTGTTTTACCATCCAGAAAATTTCAGCGTGAACTTCTCAACAAATGGAAAACAAATGGCAAGAAATCTTTCCCCCAAGTCAATATGCGTGCCTCAATGACACCAGAACAATTACAGCGACGAAGGGAACTAATTGAAGAGTGCAAAAAGAAGAGAATGGAGAACCCTCAATTGGACTGGATAGTTTATGGAGAAGCAGTAATTCTAAGATCGGAGGTTCACATTTTTAGAAAAAATAAAAAAATCTGACTTCAAAAAAATAATCTAAATAGATTAAATACTATTAATTTTTTATATTTTAATTCAAGAAGTTTAAAAAACAAATTGTCAAATTTACACTTTCTGTTATTAGAAAACCGTTATAAGTTAATAGGGGTTACTGAATCATGGTTGACTGATATAGTTGATGATAATCTTTTACTACATGGTACCCCATATAATATTATCAGAACTGATAGGGCCAATGGTAGGGGTGGAGGAACTTGCTTATTTATATCAAATAAAATACCATTTATTAAAATAGAAATCCCCCAAACTTTATCAGAGATATCTTGTATAGATTTATTAACCCCAGATGAAAAAATTCGTATTATTTTGATTTATAGATCAATCACTAAAGAAACCATTAAGGATTTTAAATCTATCTTGCAAATCTTGTATGATATATCGGCTGTATCCTACCCACTTATCTTATTAGGAGACTTTAACCTACCCAATATCGATTGGGAAAATTATAGTACTCAAACCAAAAATACCAAAGAAACATTATTTTTAGAATATATTCAAAGTTTAGGACTAAAACAAAAAATTGATAAACCCACTAGAGGAGTAAATATATTAGACTTACTATTAACTAATGAGGATGAATTAATAAAGGCTATAACAATCAATCCGCCTATAAGTAAATCTGACCATAATACAATAGAATTTGAAATATCTTCTACTAACAATTACCAAGATAATAATTATACATATCCAAATTTTCGTAAAGCTAACTATGAAATAATTAATGCACATTTCTCAACAATAAACTGGAATCTAGTATTCACACAATGCTCTGATATAAATCAACTATATTTCACTTTCCAATCGATTATACATAATGTTATTTGTTCCTTTGTTCCCGAATCTAAAGTAAAATCTAACAATCTCAAAAAACCCGAACACATTGAAAAAATGACATTATATCTAAAAAATCTGTGGAAACAAAAATCCACGCCAGAGCTAACACGTAAAATCTCATATGTATCAAAAAGAATAGATTCTGAAACTAACAAATTTTTAAAAAATAGAGAAAAGCATAAAACACAAACTATCAGTCAAAAATTCTCATACATCTCTTCATTTCTTAAATCCAAAAACAGGAAAATAACTTCAATTTTGGATAAAAATAATCAATTAGTATACGCTGATAATAAAATAGCACAAATTCTAAGTACCCAATTTAGTTCTGTATTTAATAAAAATTCATTAGACAATGCAGATCTAAACTCTATAACAAATCAAAATACATGTCAATCCGTAATCATAAATGAACTTCAAATCTTTGATCTTCTTTCTAAGCTACCTGAAAAAACTAACTCTTCTTATGACTCAATACCATGTATATTCCTTAAAAAATGCGCTAAAAGTCTTTATTATCCTTTATATTATATTTTTTCTTATTCATTAATGACTTCAACACTTCCTGAAATATGGAAGCAAAGTATAATAATACCAATACCAAAAACATTAAAGATACCCAAAATAGAAGAATTTCGCCCAATTTCATTACTATGTTCAATCACAAAAGTAATTGAACAAATTATTGCAAACCATATATCAATTTATGTTGAACAAAATGGTATATTACCAGATTGTCAACATGGATTCAGACCAAACAAATCCGTCACTACCCAACTAATTGAGGTTCAAGATGATATATCATTTGCATTGGATAATAAAAATTTAATAAACATAGTTTATTTCGATCTAGCTAAAGCCTTTGATTCTATACCCCATGAACGTCTTTTAACAAAACTAAAAGTAATAGGAATTGAAAAATCACTCTTAAAATGGATCTCTAATTACTTACACAACAGAAAATCTGTTGTTAAAATAGGAAATGAATATTCTGAACAATTCTCTATTACTAGTGGAGTTCCGCAAGGATCTATCTTAGGCCCGCTCCTTTTTAATATATACTTATCGGACTTACCAACATTCTGTTACACTCCTGAAATAAAAATAAAATTATTTGCCGATGACATCAAAGCCTATCAAATTCTAAAAAAAACCGATTTATCTAACAATTCTTTACAATTATTTATTAATAAATTCATTCAATATTGTAACACCAATGGTCTCAACATATCATTAAATAAATGCTCAGTATTATATATAGGTAAATCAAACCCTAAATTACAATACTCAATAGGAAACCACAAAATATTCCAAATTAGTAATGAAGACAAGAATAGGGATCTCGGAATTTTCTTCACTTCTAAATTCAAGTTTAATAAACATATTCAAACAATATCTCTAAGGGCCAATAGAAACTGCTATGCATTAATTAAATCTCTAAAATCACAAGATCCTAAAATTCTTATAGAAGCATTTAATATATACGTAAGGTCAATTATAGAATTTGGGTCACCGGTTTGGAATTCTTTAACTAAGAAAAACATTAAATTAATAGAAAACATACAAAAACGATATTTAAGATTTGTTTACAAAAGAATCACAAAGGTAAAAATAGAAGATATTCCACCATACAAAACACTTTTACAACATTTCAAAGTAGAATCCCTTGAAAGTCGAAGACTTAAAGCTGATTTAAAGCTATTTCATCAAAATATATTTGGGAAAATTAAAATTAACCATAATAATTCCTATATCATAAAACAAACAAAAACTAGGGGCGAAAAATATAAAATACAACCAACACGTTGTTCAACCATGATTCGGTACAACTCCTTTTTTGTTCGAACTGCTAGAATTTATTCACTAATTCCTATAGAAATTAAAAAAAATACACCCAAAATGTTTTCTAAACTTCTTGAACAGTTGGATATTTCCAATATCTTAAATGACAAATGAGATAATTTTATTTGCTAAGCTGCTTTGATTTTTATTTTAAGGACATTTTTTATTAGCATTTTTATTTTTCGTAATTTCACTTTAAATTGTTTTATTTTTGACTGTCACACCCTAGTGGTGTAAATAAATAAATAAATAAATAAATAAAGGGAAATTTATGCGGCGTTAAGAGAGCAATTTGGGGACGACAATAATTCTGTTATAGTTGTAGTATATTTTTTATATTAATAATTTTATGAATATTTTTTATATCCATTTTTGTGTTTTAACAAGCCATACCTTTTAATGTTTTTATGCTTTAAACATGTTTAACTTTTGTTAACGGCAGATTTAGCCTTCAAAAATGTTGCTGAATCTGATGTTTATCCTGTTGTTTATCATCTCTCTTTTTATTGGTAAGCCTTTTTTCTAGATAATTTACAAATTAAATATGTATTAAGGACTAAATAACGCTCAAGAAAAGGACAATCTTAAAAAGCTTGAAGATTTTCGTCAAGCATTAAATGTCAACCAGGTTTTTTTATATATTAGTACGTTTAACCAATATTTTAAACATTTTTAGTTCTCAAGTCCAGAGTATCCAGCAATGTTTGGAATCGTAGCGGGTGTATCTATTGTTTTAGTGGTAAGTTAGAACACAAATATTCTCATTAAAGTAAATTAAGGTTGCTGTAACATTCATCGTTGTTGGGTTGTTTAGTATGGAGCCATCTAAAGACTCGGTAAGGGGATTTAAATTTAAGTTTTCAAACTTATTTTTTAGATAATCTACCGAATGACAAACACGCGAATGAAAAAGGACTAATTATTCCTGCGATGTATTTAGTTTACACATTATTTTAAATGTACGAATTAGTTTATAAAATATAAATTTCTGGAGTAGAATTAATGGCAAAAGGAACCTAATCTCGATTCAAGCCTCTTCAGTTAGGGTCCCATTTCTTCCGTTTGAATGAGTTCACACAAGTTTTGACTTAACGAATTTATTTCAATAATCTCAAGTTTGTTAAAATTCTATGAAAGTTGAGGAAACAATGAAAGCTTACAATAAAAGGGTCTGAGGAATTTAACATTTTGTTGGCAGTAAAAATCGGTAAATAAAAATTGTTTTTAAAAAATCACTGGTAATTACAAACATATAATTTTTCCTTCCCATGCAGTTTGGTTCGATATTTGTTAGGAATGAGGTTTAGTAACAATTAAGACTGAATTAAATAATATAATTGATTAAACAAACATAAATAAAACCTTTGTGATTGATGCCGTTGATATTTGCAACGCAAAGTCTTTGAAGTCATACGGCCTAATAAATTTCCAGATATTTCCCAAACGTTTTCCACTCGCAAAAGGATAACGATTTCGTAGATCCATCAAACTATTGAATTCAAAGGAAGGTAGCAGCGATTGCTGGGTAATATAATAGTTGCTAAAGCATTTCTTATCCTTGTCATTTGCTAAATAAAAATCCGAAATATTAAATTACTTGAATACTTTGTAAAAATAAATCTTATTTGTCCCGCACACTGGAACTAAAATAACCCATATTTAGGACTAGGCACAAATATTTTTAATTGTAAAATAAAACCTTTTGACTCTTTTTTAGAATTCTTCAATTTACTCACATCCTCTTTAGAATCATAATATTCACTCTCATCATCGATAGACCCCGCTCGTTGATTGTTCCTTCTCTCCTTTTCTAATAATGTCAATTCCTGAGTAACATAATGTCTGCTGTCATCAAATAAAACATAATTTGGATCAAGTCGCATCAAAAGATCATAACGTTCTTCCTCATCAATTACATTTACATTCAGTAATGTCGAGAGCAATAATAGAAAATGAGTTCTTAGTTTCAGTTGTTCAATTTGACGCCAATGATAGCCAACAAAGACTCGCTAATTTAAAAAAAATTGAGAAATGTAAAAAGAACACTCACAGCAGCTTTGTAAGTCATTTTTCGTGCAAGCATTGTAATGTGAATGCCTGGCAGGAAAGCATTCCACATTTGCATCATAATTCGCTCGGCTGGGTGCAAATCAGTAATATCTTCCAATTTCTTGAATTTGTGTTTCACGTTTAAAAATTAAATAAAATCACCCTTGATCCACTTTGAATTAGCCATTGTTGGTCAATTTTTGTTGGAACTTCAAAAACATAACGCCCCATGCTAAGAAGATATTCAAATTCATTGCAATGAGCATGCGCAATTGCAGTAAAACGTTCAATTGGAAACTCATCATTGACACGTATCTTTTTGGCCAATTCTCTAAAATAAATGGATGTTAAAAGTAATAGAATATATAAAATAAACCTGGTAACTAGCCAAACAGGTCGACTATTAGATGACCACTTTCGAACCGAATTGGATTTAAATGAGCATCCACGATTAATTTTGCCCTGAAGTGATGTTAATTCGAATAATGCATCAAAGTGTGTATTCAACGATATGGAAAAACCGGGTAATGAAAGATTATTTGTGACTAGAATTCTCGGCTTAAAAATTTGTTTTTTAAGTAAAAAATTTAAGAAAACCTCATATGTAAATGTAAACCGCGGATGCATAAATCTAAAGTGCTTATACAAAGTCCATAAATTAGTTAAACGAAGTTTAGCTTTGCAGAAAAAACAAGGTGAATATACTGATAGAACACGCAAAGCAAATTGTATAGTTGAATCCTTTGTTTGAATTTTTGTTGTATCGCCGCTGCAATCGCCATTATGAGTAGAGGGACCTAATTTTTCTTTAAATAATTCTTTGTTCAAAGTTAAAACCGATTAATGAGTTTTCGTCAGAAGAACTATTTTCAGTTCCATGTTGATCTTCTGTTGCTGAAGAGTCCGAAAAATGCATCTTTGGCACATTCCATCGTAAGTTATTGCAATTTCCTGATGTACCAATTTCCCTGGATCTAGTATTTGCATGGCTTCGCGTAGTAGAAAGCAAAGGGTTGGAGGATAAGGATGAAGAGTCAGATGAATTTAACATAAACTTAAGGCTATAAATTAAAGCAATAAATTCTTAATTGATTTAATTATTAAATTTAAACATTACATAATTTTTTCAGGAAGTTCCAGGAGCCCTTTTTGCATTAGTTGACGATTCTTTGTCGAAGTTGTACCCTTTCTTCCTTCTTCATTTGTTAAAAGTGAAGTAGAAGAATCTGCCACATCCATCTCCATTTTAAGTAATCCGCTTACCATCCTATCTACAGAACGTCTTTCAGCATAAGAATCACCTATAGAAGGTATTGGCGTTTCTCGTTTCTCCTTTTCAGACTCTGCCTTTTCAGTTTCTGCTTCTTCCTCTTCTTCGTTTAAGGCAATTATACGAATGAATGGTATAGATCCTTTGCTACTACGACTACGAGATAAATGTATTAATCTTGCTACATGATTTGCTGAAGATTTTGTGCTTAAATCATCTAAACCCAGTTCAGTAGCAGTACTAAAATTAATTATAATAAAATTAAGCACAGATAAATAAAATACATACCTTAACAAAATGCTAGTTTCGCCTGTTAAAACACGAAGTCCATGTTCTGGAGTATTTGAGAAAAGACGCACTGAACCGAACATTACAACTTCTCTAGTACCATTTGAGCTATTTTTGCGCAGAAATTTTGTTGATGATTCGCCTGATTGTCGTGAAGCCATCTTTCTAAGATGACGACCTTAAAACAAGAAATAATAATACACTTATTATTGAGAAATTAAACCTCCAATTTCAGCGTCCTCCAACCGAAAAACTACGCGTACAACAAAATGTTCAGCTCTTAAAATAAAGAGTGCTTTTTTATTTTTGAATTAAAACAAATACCGCAAATTCTTGTCTTCAAGAACGCCACTTTGACACTCCTCTAACATGTCTATATCAATGTAAGAACTGATCTTTTCATTCACGGCTTTTTCAAAATTAGCAGAAGGGATTCGTTTTAGCTGACTAAATTTGTTATTCAATTCAGTTACATGATAACACTGGACAAGCGCAGTCTTATGACCTGAAATTGAATATCAAAAATAGAAAATAAAAAACAATGGCAGACCAAAACAATTGTAATTACGTATCAATGTAAATTTAACTGTTGTTGGAATTTTATCAGAAGCACGAGAACCAGTTCTTAATTGGAGTTGATGCTAAAATTGAGTTTAAACTTTAATTATTAAAAAATTAAAATTTAACTTTCTCATAAGAATTTTCCATCAGAGATCTTTCATTATCAATAAATAAATCACATGGTTGTTGCTTTCGCATGTAGAACAAATTCCGGATAAGAAATGGCCGATAAACTGGCCTACGACAAAATCCATAGTTATCTGGACGATTTAAAAATCGATATAAGTCAACCAAATCTTTAAGCGATATCATTACAATTGTGAGAGTTAAGTAAAACCTCGCATTCGCCGCTTGTATTTGCTTCTATTTAAATTTTGTTGTTCATCATCATTACCATCTTCATCAAAAGGATTGGAATAATCATTTAATAGGGGAGAAAATGCCATTCGTTGTTCTTTTAAAGGCGAAATCTGATAAAAAAAAGTTAATGTTTGTATAGAATATAAATTACCTTTTTATCCGATTCAGTAGTAAAAATGTCATTAAAAGCCGAAGATCGTCTCTTCTTTGTGTGTTCAAATTCCAAAGATGACACTTTCGAATATGCTAGTTTACGCTTCTTACAATGACCAGCCTTCTCTATATTCCCATTCTCAAATTCGTTTAAGTAACGCTTCGATAATTTTTTAACTTTTAATGGACTTTCATTGATCTTTGGAATGTTAGCTTCTTGAATAGACTTTTCGTCAGATTTATTAATGGGTTCTTGTTTTGGTGTTAATAAAAAGTTGGAACGAACTTTTGTAGTATTCTCCTTTATTAGGCTTGTACAATTTGATTTCTTTTCATCCTTTATTATGCATGGCGATTTTGTCAAATTTTTGACGGGCGTTTTTGACTTGATAGAATTTTTCTGGATAAGTTTTGAGGGTGATGAACTTTGCTTCCGTTTTAATGGTGAATTTTGTGATTGGTTTCTAAGGCTAATTCGCGATTTTTTCATCAATGAACATTTCCTAGGTGAAGAACGCAGTGAAATTCGTCGCCGAACTGTATTAATTGCACGACTTGTAGGTGGACGAAATTCTGCTTCACTACTTGAATCAGATACGCAATCAGAATCAGACGAAGCTGAAATGAGATATTTTAAATAAATTTACAAAGCTATCAAACATACAACTAACAAAAACCATTGCAAACGGTTGAGAATTAATAAAGCTGGAATTTTATGTTGAAAGTATAAAGTTAAGTAAAGCAAATTGACAATAACACATACTACTGAAACTGAAATAAAGAAAAATTATAGAAAACGAGTGAGAAAAAAAGCCTCGAGCCTTGAAATTGAACGTAATTTTCAAAAAAAATTTCCCCCTAAAATAGAAATCAAACTAATCAATAATTTCTTTTTCTCTACCAGATGAAATAGTGCAGGGATAAACTGTCATTTATATAAACATTATGCCAATTTAAATTTCGGAACTAAAGAGTAGCGTAACCCGCCAGCACAGGGGGTTATCCAAAATGCTTTTTGGAGCAAATGAACTTATCCCTAATTATAATCACTAGAAAAACCTTGTAATAATTTTTATGTCCACCATTTTTCCAAAAGTTGATTCACTTCAGTTCCATGTTGTCCAAACATATCTGCTTTTGAAAGTTAGTTACAAAAGATTAGAAAAATCAGTACATGAAAACGAACAAAAGAAACGAAGAAAATATGAGCGGGGAAGAAGAATCGCGCTAAGAATATTTTTGGCGTGCAATTTTTTATTTTTTTTTTATGATTTTTTGGAAACTTACTTTCTCAATTGAAGAACAACACCAACCAGCCAGAAGCAGCAGCACGCAGTGGCAACACCTGAAACGAAAAGAAATGAAACACTTGTTATTAAAAAAACATATTTAAACCAACAGAAGACCACCATCAGCAGCAGAACCACACCAGCATATCTTAAAAGGGAAGCCCTCCCGCCTCCCTCAAAATTTAAAAAAATAAAACCGCACCCACTACCACCATCCATCTGCTCCAGTGTCCATGTAGAACACTCCAGATCGTTGAACACATCCTAAAAAACAAAAAAAAACAATTTTAAATCAAAAAATCAAAAATTTTAAAACTCAACAGATTATGAAGCATCTGCGCAGTGATCCATCATGAACGGCAGCAGAAGACCACCAACAGCAGCAGAACCACCACCAGCATTTCTTAAAAGGGAAGCCCTCCCGCCTCCCTCAAAATTTAAAAAAATAAAAACGCACCCATTACCACCATCCATCTGCCCCAGTGTCCATGTAGAACACTCCAGATCGTTGAACACATCCTAAAAAACAAAACAATTTTAAACATAAAATTCAGAAATTTTAATACTCAACAGATTATGAAGCATCTGCGCATTGGACCATCATGAACAGCAGCAGAAGACCACCAGCAGCAGTAGCAGAACCACCACCACATTTCTTAAAAGGGAAGCCCTCCCGCCTCCCAAAAATTTTAAAAAATAAAACCGCACCGACTACCACCAGACACCATCTGCTCCATTGTCCATGTAGAGCACTCCAGTTCCACTGCACAAGTGCAACCATCCTCCATGACGAGACCAACAAGCAGCAGCTATACAAAATTAAAAATTAATTTACTTTTAGAAAAACTTTAAAAATAAAATAAAAATTAAATATACTGCTCCCGTACTCGTTGAAGATGAGCCAGCCGGAACTATAAAGAAAAAAATGTTAAAATTTGAAAAAAAAATAAAATTTTAATTTTTAACTTTTTTTTTAGATTTTTTGCCGCGCGCGCATAGGGAAAGAGAATAAGAAGATGAGATTGAAACAAAAACACATAAAACAACAACAAAAAACAAAAAAAAACAAAAAAAACACGAAAAACGAAAATACACCCGGGTGCAGCACAAACTGAAAAAAAAATCAAGAATGAAAAATTTGTGGGATAAAGTTTCAATAAACACTATGCTGCATTTTGGCGTAATAATACTGTACGCGGAAATTTAAATTTGCACTTTTGAGTCCTGTGTTGCAAGGCAAAACGGAAATAAAATTTTTTAAATGAAGGTGTTTTAGAGTATTTGCTTCTAATTCCTTTCCGGAAAACACAAAAACGTTCCGGAAATTGCGAAATATCTTCCGGATTTTCAATGTTACTTTGTTTTCTGTTGCAGAATTTTATTTCGATTTCATGAAAAATATTAAATTTCTCTTTTTAGTGTATTTAATCAAATTTTCTATCTTTTTTTCCAGCTGAAAAATGTTCTACAATTATTTTTGCTGTTCTTTTTTGCCCCTTTGTTTTATTTCCCTTCTCAACAGATTTTTTGGATTTGTTTCACATCAGATAAAAACAAATTGTCTCAAAGAAAGTCAACTTTTTTGTTGAAATTTAATGCATTATTAAAACAACATTTTGAAGTTACAGCCAAATTTTACCAGCTAACATTTAAAGTAAGCTTTTGTTTTTTCCAACTAAAATTATTTTCTATTCATTGCGTAGTTACAAAGCGAAAGTGCCCTAAAATGGTGGCCAAAGAGAACATCAAATGTGAGTGAAATAATTGAAAATGGTAGTCGCTGCTTGTTTTTTCATGCATTTTTATTTGACTTGAATAAAGAAGTATGGGGCTTGGACGACAGTTTGGTTGGCTGCTCATTTCCGCCTTATCAGTTAAAACAACACGCACATCAAAAAAGGTTTGGATTTTTCATTGTCCTTTTAATTCCACATCTTCCGATTGCCTAGATTGCTTACAAAGAGGTAACATTTGAATGTAAAAAGCTGCTATAAAGTAAGCTGCATTTAAGACTTGTCCCTTGAGATTCGCCCTGTTTGAGTTTTTTGCCTTTACATTTCGTTCCCCAATAACAATAAGTATGTGCAAAAATATGCATTTGATGTGTTTTAATCTTTCAACACAATTGTACTTGATTGTTCATAAGATTTTCAGATTTCAATAGATGAACAACAACAATAATGAAAATTCTTCGCTTAGTCCAATCACCCCGTCTACACAATTGCCACGTGCTAGAAGCGCTATTTTTCCTGTTAATGATTTGAGCACTATGAACAAACTTTACAGCACAAGGTTTTTAGCTAACAATGAGCGAGAATCGTTAAATGTTCAATTTACAGGTTAGCTGGCACTTTATCGACAGATGATGATGATCCAGCTGTCCTATTCCCTGTTAGTTCATCAAATCCGGGTACTACTGGTGTCAATAGTTCTGATATGATATTTACTGATCATCAACGAAAACAATCAAATCCTCGTTTAAAAACAACTTCGTGCTACTTTCGAGAGCCTCAAAACCGGCATCAGACGGTATAATTAAATTAATTTTGTTTTAAAATTATTTTACAGCATTGTCGGCGCTCCTCAATAATTCTAAACGAAGTGAGGCCGTCAACACTTGCCAGGCACAAATCCATATCGATGGAACTGTCAACAGATTTCATGGGTTCTAAATTGACGCTGGATGAGGAGCTCTATGACATCATTTATGCATTTCTGTGGGTATTTTTAAATAAATTATCTGATTATCCGACCTCCCTTTTCCTGAGCTTCTCCTTTCTCAAGGTGTTTGAAGATGGTCTCATCAGTAGGATTGTTGATTCGGAACCGAAGAATCGATGATTTTTTCGGTTCGGTTCTGGATATCCGAGGATTTTCTACGTAATTTGAAATGATTTTTTTTGGATTATTTCCCTTTTTTATTTCGTAAGCATTTTTCTAATGTGTGAAAAAATTATATCTTAAAAAGATATACCTAAAACTTATTTAAGAGCATTTTTTTAAACCTGTTGCAGGGTTTAAAAATATAAATCTGATCTTTTTTTTGTTTACCTATACCTTTCTTCTACATATAACTCATCTTTTCATTTTTGATCATAATATGTAATGACCGGCCAAGCCGCAGATTTTTAGGACATCTGCAAGTTTTTTTCCTTTCTCATTACTCATTTTAAGTTATTTTTTTATTTTTTCTTTAACAAATCATAACTTGGAATTTTTAAAAATATTTTAGGATATTTTTATAATTCCAAAACTAATAAAATACTTCTTTAATATACATATTTGGGTTCTTTCCAATTTTTCAAACAACGGCAAAATTTATTTCCTAACAAATAAAAATTCTAAAAAGAAGTCGGTTGATGCCGTTAATTTGCCTGTTAATGATCAACATAGGGCATCATCAGCCACTTATGGTAGCTCACCATCGCCTTCCACAATTGGATGGGCTAATGAATTTATAGATTATTTGAGAGGATTGTGAGTAGTAATTTTTTAATTAAAAAATTATTTTCACACAAAATTAGTTAACTTTGATTTTTATATTTTTATTCTCTAAAGGTGTATTTAACGTCTTATTATTTAATTTCTTCCAAATCTAAAAGATCCAAAATAATATCGAAAAAATGCGTCAGCCGTTTGTTTCATGATAACTAAAAAGACAGCCGTCCCTCTTCCGATTTATTCTTGTTCCCCTTTGGCTTTTTTAGGTCCATTACTTCAAGCGTCCATCCTTACCCCAATGACCACCCCACCTCAAGCATTTATACATACCTTTTTGTTTTTTTTTGTTTTTGCTAATCCATCTGCTTAAACATTAATTTGTATTATAACAATGCTTTTCTTTGTTTTCTTTCTTAATTTTATGCATGTTATTTTTAAATATACACCGGGGCTGTCACGGGTTACCCGAATCCCAGACTTTTTCTTACTCGAAACCCGATCCAAAAAATTTTCCAAACTCGACCCGACTTTTTCTCAACCCGTGATATCTCTGATATACACATTTTTAAATTCATTATAAATCATTTAAATCTGTTCATTTTTTGAATAGATTTTGAATTTATGCCTTCACCTCCTTCACCTAGTTATTCTACTAGACGTTCATCAGTTTTTGCTGATTTATTAACTCTTTTTCGTCGAAAGAGTACTTTTGCATTTCCCCGTCGTTCTATTTACCATGCGGCTCCACCTTCTGAACAACTCCGATATGCTAGCAAAGATTGTGAACTGGGTGGAAGTACGGTGTTAAAAGGGGCAGTTGCTGAGTTCAGTAAATTGAATATTTGTTGATTTTTGCACCTTTTTAAATTCATTCCTAGGATTAGATAATTAACATAATCTTACAAAAATTGTTAACCTTTTTTTTTAATTTAGTGAAGTTGACCGAGAACATGCCGATGATGAGGAAGCAGCTGATACAAGTGGTCGACCATTGACTAGACAACATTTACTTAACAAAATAAGAGAAAAGAAGGAAGTAATTAACAAACTTAGATGTCAACCATGGAATATGAATCGAAAGAGGCGAACTCTCAGGTTGATTTTGAAAGGATAATAATGTGTGTGTGCTGTGCTGCTGATCGTTTTTTGCCTTTTAAATTTTGTTTCGGCACACCCCTGCTATATAATTTAAAAAGTTAAATTTTTTAGACTTGCACAAAAATATCTTGAACAAAATGAATCTAAAGTATCCAAAACACATTTGTACAAAGAGGAATTAGTAAAACGCTGGAGACAATTTCTTCGATGGTTAGGCAACATTTGGATATATTTTGTTCCTTGGGAATCTCGAATAAAACGAATAGAGAGCCAATTTGGTTCAGTTGTTTCAAGTTACTTTACTTTTCTTCGTTGGGTCATCTGCATCAATTTCACTATAACTGTAAAATTTTTTTTCGATTTAAAGTTAAAAAACGATAATCCTCAAAGGTTGTGATTATTGCCTTCATTGTTGTCCCTGAATGTATAGCTGATGCGATTGCTGACCCAGAACGTAAAAATCGAACGGCTGGTCGTAAACAGATCTCACCTGAAGAATTACGACATGCTAATGAATTGGCAGTTGTTTGGCACTTTGATGTAAATTTTTTTAATTAAAATTTATAAATTTTTTCTATTTTATGGCTATTTGCGATATTCTCCTCTTTTTTATGGGTTTTATTCAAATGATCAATTCATATCTGAAAAAATTCGTTATCCGTTGCCGTTGGCTTATCTTTTGTCAATTCTTTTTGTATTTTTCTTTAGTCTAATTATAATTCCAAGGAGGTAAGATTTTTTCATTTTACAAATTTTATTTTCATTTTTACAGGATAGCAAAAAATGCAAGGATCAGCAAGTTGTCAGGCACTAAAGCAGAGCAATACGTATTTAATTGGAAACTTTTTACTGGTTGGGATTATTCCATTGGCTCGGCTGAAACGGCACAGGTTTTCTTTTCCTTTTTTGGTTTGAAAAAGTTTTTTGTCAAAGAACACTGCAATGGCGGTAGTTATTAAACTTCGTGAGGCTATCAATGAGTGTCATAGTTATGCCGGACGTGCATGTATTCCTTCACGTTGGGCAATCCGAATTGTTTGTTTTAACTTTTTAAAACATTTTTAACTATTTAAAAATTTTAAGGTGACCAATACAGTGATTATCGGTTAAATTTATAATTTTACTATTTTACGAGTTTCTTTTTGCAGGAATGATTGCTCTTTCAGTCTATTGCATTCAAGCAGCAATGCGTTCTTCAGAAACCGTAGAAAAGTCATCTGGCAGTTTATTCACTAAAAATCAGGTTACAATTAAAAATAATTATTTTCTAATTAATCCTCAGGTTCCGTTACTAATGTCTACAATTACACACATGTAGGGACTTTGTTTAATTTGTAATTTATTATTATTTTTTAGCTTTCCTATGATATTTGATCTCATAGGAAGGGGTGAAAGACATCACGCAAGAACTGCATTGCGTCTACATCTAATCAGAATATCAGCGCTTTATATAATTAATTATGTAAGTCTTCTACTTTTTAATCATAAAATTTCATTTTTAGGTGACTTTGATGCTTTCTTTATTCGAAAAACTTGACAACATTAGAGACATATCTCGTGTAACTGCAGCCACTTTACTTGATGATTCTGCCGAAAATACAGCAGATTATGATAGATGGAATTCTAATTCAAATCAACAAACACAACAATTTTATAGTAGAAACTTTTCTTCTCCAAATCAATTGAAACAATTTTTTATGGATGCTTTTAATTTTGTGACAAGGCAACACGGACGTCGACAAGCAGAGAATGGAGGTGAAGAAATAGGAAAACTTAATGTTGATGGTTTGTACTTTAATTATATTTTTAAATTGGGATTTTGTCTGGCAGGAACTTCTGTTACTGTTCGTGCTCAATTTGGCCCTGTTGGTGTAAATAATCCAACGGTTTTATTGCGAAATTATACACAACATCCAGTGATTGAATCAGATTCTTTTGAGACAAGAAAGATTGGACCAACACCTTTACCTTTGTTCACTCCACCGCCAATTCCACCAACAACACGCACACCAACATTTCGAGAACAAGTTTGAATTTTTGACAATTTTTAGCAACTCTTAAGTTCAAAATTTTTTATTTTAGAATTTTGGCCCTAACTGGAAAAACTTGGATACAAAATCTGATAAAGAACGACGGAATGATGAAAGGGATCACCAATTATCAACAACTCCAATTTTGGCTTCAACAGTGCCTAACATTACTGTTAAAAGGCCGATTGATGGACTTCCATTTGCAAAAATTGAAAAAATGCCGACATTGCCAATGGGGAATGGTGGAGAGGTTTGGCATAATTCTTTCATTTTATGTTTTTCCCATATTACAGGAAAGGTCTACCTTTAGAGGAAATGGTCGTTTAACCTCTGTTGATGTTACTTCTCGTAATCACAATCAGCAGAGACTGTCAGGTTTTTTTTCATTTTAAATATTTTTTTAATTTTAATAATTTAAGAGATCGTTGAGCCAGAAGCAACAACTTCTACAGCTATACAAACAGCTACAATTCAATCTACTGATTGGACAAACGATGATGATGATATTGAGAATAATGTTCATTATAACGAAGAAATATGTTGGGAAACTATGCTTGGACAAGAAATTGTTAAATTAGTTACAATGGTTCGTTTTTTTTTCATTTAAAAACCATAAATTAAATTTTTGGCGAATTTTGATCTTTAAAAATATTTTTTAGGACCTTTACATCACAATTATATCAATTTTCTTAATTGATTTTGTTCGTGGTATTTGGATTCGTTATTGTTCCTCTTGGTGGTGTTGGGATATTGAAACAACTTTTGTATGAATTTTAAATTAAAGATTAGAGTTATAATTTTAATTTTAGCCAGAATATGGAGAATTTAAAGTAGCCGAAAATGTCCTTCATATCTGTAATAATCAGGGAATGGTTTGGCTTGGCCTTTTCTTTACACCTTTATTGCCAGCTATTAATAGCTTTAAGCTTATCTGTTTAATGTATATTCGAGGTAAAAGTTTTTAGAAAAATTTAGACCTTTCCTCTTTAAAAGGTTGGGCATGTACAACTTGTAATGTTCCAGCAAGAGAAATTTTTCGTGCTTCTAGGTAGAATTTTATTCAAGTTTTAATTAAAAAATTATTTTCAGATCATCCAGTTTCTTCCTTTATATTCTTTTGAGTGCTCTTCTTCTTTGTATAGTTCCAGTTGGTTATGTAATAACCGTAAAAAGACCATCAATTCTTTGTGGTCCATTCGCGTTTGTTTTGATTTTAAATATTTTTGAAATTTATAATTTAAGTGGTCAATCTCATTTTTATGCAATTGTCACTGATTTAATCAAAGGACATGTTAATAGGAAGGTTCTTCGTTGGGTGCGTTATTTGACTTCGCCTGGTGTGATATTCCCATTTATTTTGGTAATTCTTTAATTTATTTACTTGGCTTAATTTTTCATTCAGTTGCTTGTCTTGTTTATTTTCTTCCTTTTTTCATTGGTTCGTGGACTTCGAAAAGCGAACAGTGATTTACAAAATCAACTTATTCATGTTTTTATCAATTTAATAATTTTTTTAAAATTTAATCTTTAAGGAAAGAACTGAAGAAAAACGAAAAATTTTTGAATTGGCTGGCGGTGGTACGCGCAAGAAAGGGCCAAGTTCTTTTGGTGCATCAACTGTACGTGCAGCAGCAAATTTATTACAACCACACAAAAGTGGAAGTCAGCGAAAAATGATTGCCGGTCAGCATTTGCCGGAGGTAGAAAAGAAACGTCGTGAGCCTTGGCGTATTTTTAGAAGGGAATCAAATGTAAAAATGCTTTTTAATAATTTTTACAAGGGAAAAATTTTTATTTTAAGAGTAAAGACAATCATACTACTTTATCTTTTTGCCCATCTGATGAACCACCTAGTTCGTTAAATTCTCCAATTTCAATTGAAGCGCCAGTGTTGGAATCATTAGCAAAAAATCAGGCAACACTAACTCAAAATGATAAAAAGCAACAACATCCTTCAATAATTCCTTTAAATGCGACAAATGGTAGAATTAGACCTTCAATTAGGTAATTTTTGATAAATGGTTACTGGGACCGAGTTTTCCGTGCCCAGAGGCCTTAGTCCAGAGTACTTGGTGCGGGTCAGCTTATATTGATAAGAGAAGACCCGGAAACCAGGCCCGACAACGTTAAAGGTTTGAACTTTACTATTTATTGACGTTTAAATTGTTTTAAATAAACAGTTCTGTTGAAAAATTTGATCGTCATAGTATTCACTCGTCTTCTGATACACTAAAACATGCTTCTCCTAAAAAGTTGCAAAATCAACAACCTAGTACTGCAGCAATTACTCAAAATAGAAAAAACGGCGATGGTTTACCTAGGAGATTTAGTGGAGGAGATGGCTATGATATTTCAGAAGGCACACCTGAGACTGTTCGGTAAATTTTTTGAATATTTTTATTGACTAATATTTAACTATTTGAATTTTATTGTCGTTTTTAACGCTTGATTTAACAATTTGTTTAAAAAACCAGAAAGTTGATTGCACAACATCAAAATTCTCAGCAGCAACAACAAAAGCAACTAAATATTCCATTGTTTCCAATAGACTTGCCATCTATAAGAGAAGATATTTCAAGCATTAAAGAACCTTCCTGCAGTGTTGTGACTTGTAAAGATGAAATAGATAAAAAGAAGCCAGAAGTGACGAAAGTTGAAGTAAAATCCCCAAAAGCTACAGCAAAATCATCTTCAAATTTGAAACGTCATAAAATAATTCCTAACAAGCTTAATTTAACACAATGTTTGAATCGACAAACTTCAATAACCTCTCCTGTTGATGCTGATGTTGTTTCCTCAAAAAATAACATTACTAAACCAAAGTTTGTTTTTCTTTAACTTTCCGTTGCTTGTCTTTTTTTAATTTTAATTTAGTTTATTTTTAATTAATTCAGTTTTAATTTTAATTAATTTTAATTAATTTAGTTTTATTTTATAGTGAAGATTATTCGGTTGTTTTGAGTGATGAGGTTTCTGATACATACGATTTCATCAATGCAGGCATTCCCTCTGGAGAGGCGCCTCATCGAATTTCATTATATTCGCGTGAGCCGCGAAGAATTGGTGCTGGTGATGGGACAACACATCAAATATCTGATAGAAAACAACTTCCAATTCATTCCTTACAAACAGGAAAAAATATTAAGGAAAAGCAAACACCAAAACAACAAAAACAAACAACAGCAAAGCAATCACATTCACCACCAGATTCTAAACCGAGAAGATTATCTATGAAGTCACACACATCCAGTGAATCCAATGTGTATGTCTTAATAATTTTTATTTTTATAATTTTATTTTATAGTCTTCCTGCTGGGATGAGCAGTCAATTTGCATCCCCAGATGAGATAAAAAACCAACAACGGACACAATTATTACGTCCAACAAGCATTGGACCTCTTTCAAAAATTAGGCATATAGAGAGAGGAGGAGAGATTAATAAAAACATTCCTACACCATCAACTTCATCACTTCAATCTACATCATTATCGTTGAAACAACAACCAGTTGAAAGGCAGAATCGTGCTAAATCACCTTCAAAAATGATCAAATCAATTCATTCTGTTAGTTTTTTTAAATTTAGATTTTAAAGCTTTTAAATATTTTAGGGTGAATTGCCAAGTTATCGACAATCTAGACAAATGTCGCCACCACGTCGTTTTCGAATTACAGTTTCACCAACACGGCAAATGACAATTATAAATCAAGAAGTTGAAATGATAGAAGAATCACATCCGACTTTGGAAGAGTCACAGAAAAAGTCTCCAAGACGTACAGTGATCAAACAACAAGTATTTACTGGATCTACTTCAACTTTTGGAGACCCCGTTTCCGGTTTGGGAGAAGAAAGGGGCTCCTCATTGACCGCGGCTTGTCGTCGTATGAATCAAAAACAACAATTGGGAGGCCAACAAAATTTAGCCCCTCGAATAGAATTTGGCGATGATGATTCCCCACGTGTTGAACAATTTCCCTCATTTTTGAAGCAAAATTTACCCAAATATTAAAATACTATATTTTTATATTTTCTATACTCAAAAATTTCTCAAATTTTATATGTCCTTTTTTTCTAGTTTTTTTAAAAAATAATTTATAAATATTTTAAATAAAATCTTATGTTAGTTATCTTATTGTTAGCTGTCCTAAACAAGATTATTTTTAATTTAGAGAATAAAATTTTACAGATTTTATAAATAAATTGATTCATAAAATGGTGGAAGAACAACAACAACCTAAACAAAAGACAGAAAAAGAAATTGCTCGTGAAAAAGCAAAAGCAGAAAAATTGGCAAAATTTGCTGCAAAACAAAAGAAAATTGAAGAAGATGCTAATAAAACGTCGCAAAATGTAAAAAAATCTGGAAAAAAGGCCGCAACTGTTGATGCTACCGAATTTCAATGGTCAGTAGATCCTGATGGGAGAAAAGGTTTTTTTAAGTTTTTCTATGATTTTTTAATTTTTTTAAATAGATGTTTCGAAAGTGTTGCCGACAACATATTCGCCTGTTTACGTTGAAGCAGCTTGGTATGAATGGTGGGAACGCGAAGGATTTTTTAGGCCTGAATATGGAGGAAGGGATTTAACGTATGTTTTTATTTCCAATTTTTGTATTTAAATATTTTTAATATTTTCGGTGTGCCGAATCCGAAAGGTCAATTTACTATTGTTATTCCACCGCCTAACGTGACTGGTGTGCTACATTTGGGACATTCTCTGTCTACTACTGTTGAGGATTCTATTGCTAGATGGTTAGTTTTTTATTAATGATTCTAGTTGTTTACTTATGGGTGTAAGGGTTGGAGGTTCCGATTTTTTGAAAATTTTTAAATTTTCTGACCTGGATTTCCTTTTTCACCTTTCTAATCATTCTATTTAAGGCATCGTATGTGTGGTAAAACAGTCCTTTTTGTACCCGGTTGTGATCATGCTGGAATTGCTACCCAAGTGGTTGTTGAAAAAAAGCTTGAGCGAGAATGTGGACTAAACCGTCATCAAATTGGTCGAGAAAAATTTATTAATGAAGTGTGGAAATGGAAGAATAAGTAGGACGATTTTATTTTTAATTTTTCATAATTTTTATTTCAGCAAAGGGCATATTATCTATGACCAAATTCGTAAATTGGGTGCTGGAGTGGATTGGGATCGCGCTGTTTTTATGATGGATCAGGTTTACAAAGCTGACTTCTGTTATTTATATTTTTTAAAGAAAATTGTTCGTGCCGTAACCGAAGCTTTTGTTCAAATGCACGAAAAAGGTGTTATTTATCGCAGCAAAAGACTGGTAAATTGGTCATGCACTCTACGCTCTGCTATTTCTGATATTGAGGTTTTTGTTTGTCTTTGAAAATTTTATAGTATAATTTTTTATTTAGGTAGATAAGAAAGAAATTGAAGGACGTACTCTCGTTTATGTCCCTTCCTACAAAGAAAAAGTTGAATTGGGTGTTCTTGCTGAATTTGCATATCCTGTAGAAGGCTCTTCGGGCGAACAACTTGTTGTTGCTACTACTCGTATTGAAACTATGCTTGGGGATGTTGCAGTGGCTGTACATCCAGATGATCCACGTTATAAGCATCTCATTGGAAAGGTATTTCGATTTTTGTGGCTTTTGCTATCAACCTAACTTTAAGAACTGTGTCCATCCTTTCGTCCAACGTTCTATGCCAATTATTGCTGATACATTTGTGGATCCTAATTTTGGTACCGGAGCTGTAAAAATTACTCCTGCCCACGATCATAATGACTATGAAGTTGGTGTTCGTCATTCTCTTCCATTTATCAATATATTGAGTGATGATGGAATTCTTTTACCGAATTGTGGTGAAAAATTTGCAAGGATGAAACGGTTTGATGCTCGAAAGAAGATTGTGGAAGAATTGAAAGCACTTGGTCTTTATAAAGGAGATAAAGGTCACCAAATGATTGTACCCTTTTGCAGGTTTTTAAAAAAAATTTTTAGTGGCATTATTTTTATTTTAGTCGATCAAATGATGTTATTGAACCTATTGTTAAATCTCAATGGTATATACGTTGCAAGGATATGGCTGAACGTGCTTTGAATGCAGTGAGTAGTGGCAGTTTAAAGATTGTACCTGAATCCCATGTGAAAACTTGGAATAATTGGCTTGGGGAGATTAAGTTTGATTTTAATTTTTTTGTACATTATAGCATCATTTTACAGGGATTGGTGTATATCTCGCCAAATTTGGTGGGGCCATCAAATACCAGCTTACTTTGTGACTATTAATGAACCCGGCAGAATTGAAGCGGATCCTTCTGATGACACATATTGGGTATCTGCGAGAAACGAACATGAAGCAAAATCCAAGGCTGCGAGTAAATTTGGTGTTCCTGTTGATAAAATTACATTAAAAAGAGGTTTATTTTTAGTAATTTTAAATATTTTCTGCCTTATTAGATGAAGATGTGCTTGATACTTGGTTCTCTGCTGGATTGTGGCCTTTTTCTGTTATGGGTTGGCCTGAAAAGACTGCAGATATGCAAAATTTCTTTCCTGGACATTTGTTGGAGACTGGTCACGATATATTATTTTTCTGGGTTGCTAGAATGGTCTTTATGTCCCAAGAGTTATGTAATGGTCAACTTCCTTTTAAAGAGGTTTTTCTTGACTTTTGTTAATATTATTCTTTTTAGATATTCTTACATGCTATGGTACGAGATGCTCATGGCCGAAAAATGAGCAAATCTTTAGGAAATGTAATTGATCCTTTGGATGTAATATATGGAATATCGCTTGAAGAATTGCATAAACGGCTGGAGGATGGAAATTTGGATTCAAAGTAAATTTGCTAGAAATAATTTAAATTGTAAATTGTTTTTTAGAGAATTGTCTACAGCTAAAGCTGGTCAACGTCGTGATTATCCTCAAGGTATTCCTGAATGTGGAACAGATGCACTTCGATTTGCGTTAATGGCATATACAACACAAGGTTTTTTAAAATGTCGACTTTTTTAAAAATCAGAAATTTAAGATCGTGCTATCAATTTGGATGTTCTTCGCGTGCGTGGTTATCGATTCTTTTGTAATAAAATATGGCAAGGTGTTCGCTTTGTTTTTTCTCAATTGGGCAATAATTTGAATGAATATAAACCTGAAGCAGACTTTAAGGTTCAATTCTTTTCTGACCTTTTATAGTTGTAAATTTCGTCTAATTTAGCGTTATTTTGACATTGAAACGATGACTGATAGATGGATACTCTCTCGTCTTGGAAAATGTGTTGCTGACTGCAATTCAGGATTTAGCAAATATAATTTTCGACAATTAACAACAGCACTTTATCAATTTTGGTATTATGAGTTTTGTGATGTTTATTTGGAATCATCAAAGCCTATATTTTTTGCAGGTTTATTTTTTTTAAATTTTTTTAAAATTAAATCTTTTTAGTAGGAAATCAAGCCGTAGAAAATGGTTGTTCTAATAATAAACAAATAGAAATTGTACGTCATATTTTGTATCATTGTGTTGATACTTTTCTTCGATTAGCTTCACCAATAATGCCATTTATTACTGAAGAACTTTGGCAACGATTACCAAAAAGGCAAAATGAAATGGCAAAAAGTATTTGTGTTGCAGCATATCCAGAACCAGAGCAGGTTTTTTAGTAAATAAAGGGAATTTTCTCAAATATTATAATTTTTCTAGTATTCTTTTCATGATGAGGAAGCTGAATCTAACGCCGAATTAATAAGAAAAATCGCACTGGCTAAAGCGAAGGGTTCATCGACGACAAAAGATTCATCAGAACAATGTTCAGAAATGATGAATGATGTTGAAAAAAATAATTGTACAACATAATGAGCTTTTATATTTGTTGAAAAAAAGGTTTACCCATTGTTAAATAGAAAAAGTTTTTTTTGTTATTTATCAAGTTATATAAGTATTATGCATATTGACAATTCTATTGTTAAATAAATGTTTTTTTTGAAGAAAAAAATATTTGAAATTTTTTAAAGTTTTTTATTAGAATTTGTTGTAAAGAACAATACATACATATTTTTTTGGATTTTTAAAATTAACTCATGTTTATTTGAAAGGCCTATTTTCCTTTTAAAAATGAATGACATTAAATTTAACGACGTATCCATGTCTTACAAATCTCTTTTGGATGATCTTTGGCGCAAAGGCTTTACATTGGTCTCAGCAGAGCATTACAAATGTTTGGTTGAGGGAAAAGAATTGACAAAAACAGAGTTGGATGATTTCTATTCTCGAATGAATTTGCTGAAAGAAATGTTGAATGATGTAAAGGTTTGAGAATTTGAAGTATTTTTCTAGTAAATTAGCCACTATTTTTAGTTGAGAGTTCATTCGTTAGTCATTACTGGATCAGATGCACTTGAAAGATGGCGTTCATTTACTAGTTTTACACATCCAATGTATTTTTTATCTAAAAATGGTGTAATTTGTCTTCTATTTTAGGCGTCATTTGCCTCGTCAGTTACTTCTAAAATGTGAGAAGGGCAAGGAGCCGTTGCTTTGTACACAGGCTTATTGGTTTATTTTGAAATTGTTTTTAATAAAAATTTTATTAGCAAATTTTTGCAAATTGCTGTTTCAAATCCAGAATTGCTTCAGCCTGGATCATCCTTGGAAAATGATCAGCCAAACGGAATAAAAACATTGAGGTTATTTTCAAACTAGAACAGGGATGGGCCGGGTTACACGAAACCCGATTTTTTCTCAGTCAACCCTGCCCATCCCTGATCTGGAACAACGAAGTTTCAAATGGAACAACGAAATCTCTCATTTTAGATCTTTTCACCTCTGCGAGGCTCCTGGCGCATTTGTACTTGCATTGAAAGTACTTACAAAATTTGTTTTCCAACAAAAAATTTTTTCCTAAAATATATAGCATTGCCTTGCAAATTTGGACATAAAATTGGATTGGAAAATGAACAGGTTTTTTTCATTTAATAAATTTCAAAATAAATTTTTTTTAAGTTTATCTTCTCAACAAAATGACTCATTTAAACATGCAGCTCCTATTGAATTTGATGACAATTTTAATAATAATAGTGCTCGAATGGTTTTTGGACCTGATGGATCAGGAGACATTTTAAATTTTACAAATGAATTTCTACAAAAATTTGTTGCTGATTTTGGAAAGTTTCATATAATCACTGCTGATGCTGGAATTGACTGCACGGTTTTTTATTTTTTTATAATTTTTAGTTCACCTAAAACTTTTGTAAGGGAATATCGGGGATTAAAAGGGATAAGTAGTCTTTTTTTAGAACAAATTATGCGGCATTGTGAGTGGGTGCAATTTTGGCGTAGTAGAGATCTCTAATCCTATTCAATCACACCAGATCCATTGATATCCCCTCAGTCCCTCCAAATCTCTCGATAGTCCCCTTCAAGTTGTAGATCTTCAGGGTTGACCTCCTAATCTTATCTATTTCAAGTTTAGGACGAACCAATTGATCAAGAACGCAAGATGCTTCCACTCATAGAAAAACAGTTGGAAATAGCTTTTGAATGCCTGTGCACTGGTGGAAACTTTCTTATAAAAATATTTACATTTTTTGAAAATGAAACAATTCAATTATTGACTAAATTATGTGGTGCATTTGAACGAGTAGAATGCTTAAAACCGCCAAGCAGTAAACCAGGGAATTCTGAGGTTTTTAGCATAAAAAACTAAAATTAATTTTGAAAAATATTAAGATTTATCTCCTTTGTATCAACTTTTTTGGACAATCAAAACAAAAAAATGTGGCCCTTTCTCGATTCTTTACTCAACAAATTGAAGAATGCGCACGGTTTTTTATCAATCATCAAATTCGATTTATCCAATTTAATTTACATACATTTCGTCGACTTTCTCAATCCGAACGGGTAAAATAGATTAAACATCAACTAGCAAAAACTATTCTATTTTAAGGCTAATTTGGAATTTCAAAAGTGTATAGTTCAAGAAGTTATGGCAGACTTTTTGTGGCATAAAATATTTGGGTACTTATTTAGTTTCCCCCCCCCCCCAGTCAGTTTTTTCGAAAATTATGTAAAAATGGTCAGTCTGAACAACAATTGTAGAACCCATCGAGCTGTGTCGAATGACACCAAAATCAACAAAATCCGACTTGATTTGACCGAAATACAGACCCCTAAAAATTGAACAACCATGGGGGTGATTTTTCGAAATAAAAAAAGTTTACCCAAATGATAGCTCATTCGAAAGAGCTCGTCGAGCTGAGTCGAATGACACCAAAATCAATGAAATCGGACAAGATTTGACAAAGTTATGACATTATTTAGACCTACCGGAGTCGACGACTTATGTCATAACTTTGTCAAATCAAGTCGGATTTCGTTGATTTTGATCTCATTCGACTCAGCTCGACGAGCTCTTTCGAATGAGCTATCATTTGTATAGATTTTCGTCTTTATGATTTTGTGCCCCTGTGGTTTAGGGGTCTGTATTTCGGTCCAATCAAGTCGGATTTTGTTGATTTTGGTGTCATTCGACACAGCTCGATGGGTTCTACAATTGTTGTTCAGACTGACCATTTTTACATAATTTTCGAAAAAACTGACTGGGGGGGGGAAACTAAATTAGTACCAATATTTGTAATTGACTGACAAAAAAGAAATTTTTCCCTTAATTTATAATTCTCACACAAGTAAGTTTTTAATTATCATTTATATACTAACCAGGGATTTCGCGGGTTGTCTGATACCAGAAACTTGGACTTTCTTCGACCCCAACCTAATTTTCTCAACCCGTTACATCCCTGGTATTAAACCTTGTATTTTTTAATTTTATTTTTACTAATCGAGTTAATAATAACAGTCGTTTAAAGCAAAATAAATTAAAAATAAGGGAGTAAATTAACAAAAAATAAACATATTTCCTAACAAAAAGCTCTAATTGTTTGTATAAGATCCTCCATTCGTTCACAGAACGTTTGCTTTGTATGAAACATAAATGTTCCAAAAGATGGCGAAAAATTGTAAAAATATTACACGAAAGTGTAATGGAATCATAGTCATATTAACAGCTTGTAGAAAAGGCCAAAACTTTAAGGGAAGGTTTTAGATTAAGAAATTAACAAAAATTACCTTATAGTTATTTGCCATTACATCCAAGTAAATTCGTTTTGTCCTTTGTAAAGCATTATTTGTTGAATGAGAATCCATAAAATTGACAGAGAATAGAAAAGCTCCAGTTAAAAGTGGAGCTTAAAAAATGATTTGATTGGAAATAGTTTTTTCTTCTTCAACACTTACCCAAACAACTTTGGTCAACAATAACTCTTTTCATTGCGGTTTGAAGTCGTCCTTTACCAGTAATACGACGATCAAGAAATCGAAACCAGTGGAATTGTATAGGAACCTTGAAATATTACATTACTATTCTTGGATGAAATCACATGCCTAATATGAAGAGTAGTTAGTTAGCGGTTACTAGAAACCCAGACCGAGAAATTTTCCAACCTCCATTTCCCCCCTTAACTGACCCGAAACCCGATCCAAAAAAATTTTTGAAATCTATCCCGACTTTTCTCATCCCATAATATATCTGATAAAAATTACAAACCACGATAATCATTGTTGTCAATGCAAATTGTGATACTCGCCGCCTGTCTATATGTTCACGTTTCTCAACATATTTTTGACATATTACATTTCCTACAGCGGCTAGAGTACCTTAACAATGGGAAGCTTCCGTCACTTAAAATTAAAAAACAAAGAAACCTGCCGAAACAACTTGAACACAGAAAGCTTTACTTGGTAAATATTGTCGAATTCTAGCTGGGTTAATCATAAATCTAAAAAATAATTTTTTAAATTTTTAAGACAAAAAAATGAAATTTAAAATAGTGAAAACAATAAACAACCTTATGATTTTAAGGCAATGAAGAAATATTGTTTACCAACAATGGGGTGATGGACTTTGGACTTCGAGATAAAAAGTCGTTCGTTTTAATTTTTAAATTTGTGTTCTTATTTGGCGAAGTGAATAAAACGGTAAAGAAAATGACAAAATATCCATTGATTTTTCAGTAAGGGTAGGGGACGATTCAGTATCGCCGATTCAGTATCGCCAATTCAGTATCGCCGATTCAGTATTGGCCGATTCAGTATTCAGGCTTTTTGGCCATAACTTTTTGCTCGATCAATATTGTAGGAATTATTATATATGATTTGATAGGCCTCGGGGTGCTGCATCTTTTTCATAATTGGACTTACCTGATCTGATCACTCTACAAGAAGTTAACACTGATAAACGACGTCACAGGCATAAAAAATCGGTTTTCACGCTGTAACTTTTTTTGAGATCATCAGATCAGATCGGGCCAATTATGAAAAAGATGTCGAATCTCGAGACCTTTCGAATGATATGAGAATTATTCAAATCGATCGAATATCAGGAAAGTTATGGCCATATACTGAATCGGCGGATACTGAATCGGCGATACTGAATCGGCTATACTGAATCGGCGATACTGAATCGTCCTTAACCGTTCAGTAAGGAACGTTTGAGTCTGATAATTTCAGTCTTGGTTTCATTTTTGTTCTCTAGGACTCAAACATCTTTCTGTCTGGGATATTTTGTCTGTTCATTGATTGTTGGAAACCGTGTCCATGGCTGCAATCGTGGTTTAGTCATTTCTGTAAGAATGCATGAATGATAAAATGGTTTTGTTTGGTGTTTGGCGTGCGTTACCTGCGTAAGAAACGTGTATGTATATAATCAACCGCACTTGAGAATACAAACAATCATTTTGCGTTTTTTGGCACGTATGTACACCTTTGGTTGATTCAATATATTAATTTATGGAGGAAATGCTTTGCTATGCTTTTCACTGGTTGAAAATTAACTTTTTCGGAGCGAGATTTTTTAAAAAAGGGATAGAAAAACTTGTGGCCTTTAAATCGATTTTAAAGAATTTCACTGGGGTTTGGAATTTTTTAGTTAAAATACGAATAATTTTTTAACTTTTTGTTAGTTCTACTAAATTAAGTTAGTAGGGTTGCAAAAGCGGACCGACGGGGTCCGAAAGATCGATTCGGGCATAGGGTATTTGGCCCGAAAACTCTCGTAACGGCCCGGTCCGATAAAAACAAACTCGAAAAACATGCCTCGAACTACGGCCTAACTCGAAAACGGCATCCCTAGTCATTAGCAAATAAAAAATTTTTCTGAAATTTATCGCGCTATTATAAATTTTCAGCTTATGGTTAATGTATATATGAGAATATGTATGTGTCATCCTTTTCCCCCACCAAAAAAATGTGCTTCCACAAAAGTGGTGGCAAAATGGTGGCATTTAATATGTGTTGAAAATGATTTTGTATGGCCACTATATATTTTTAATTTATTATTTTTCAATGGTTGATATAGGATGATCTGATATATAACTTTGGTGGTTATGGGAAATGTTTTTATGGGTGAAATTTTATGGGTGGAATTGGTCTTCAATGTTTTTATGGGTTAAATGTATGATGACCTTTTATGGGTTTTAACAAGATAGTGGATCAATCATATATGGGTCAAAATCATGGTGTAGCGCGTTGTTTTGTTTTGAGAAGCAAAAAATGTGTTCCTATCTCAACTCTCGTTGCTATATTTTTCAGCAATTTTCTTAAAATTTATTTGAAATTTTAGAATAATAAACATTTGTTCAAATTGAAAAGAAAATGGTTAGAGATTCGCGTTCTCGCAGTTCATCTATCAATCGCTCACGAAGTCCACGACGTCGTGACGCAAAAAAGAGCCGTCGACGCTCACGTTCTGGATCGCGCTCAACGTTTTCACGTACTCCTTCTCCTGGAGCTAAACGCCTTCATATTGGTTTGTTTTGAGTATATTTAAGTTTTCATTTTTATTATTTAGGTAATTTGGACGACACAATCCGTCGTTGTGATATTGAGGATGTTTTTGGCAAATATGGTCGTATTGTAGATTGCTGGATGGCGAGGTTTTTATTTTTAAGTTTAATTCTTATTTTTATAATTCTTTCCTTAGCTATCCGCCATTTTATGGATTTGTCGTCTTTGATCGAAATGAGGATGCGCAGAGAGCTTTGGTATTTTTTTCTTAATACAACAAACTTAAAAACAATTTTCTTTTTTAAGAGAGACATGTCGACAGGTTATATTAAGGATTGCAGAGTTCGTACAACCGTGGCGCTTCCACGTTATGGAGGATCTGCTGGAAGAGTCAAGTTTGATTTTTTTGAATGGCTTTAGTTATATTTTCCTAATTTTAGTAACCGTGGAGGTCGTTTGCCTCCACCGCCTGGTCGAGGTCGTCGCAACTTTGATGATGATTATGGACGTGGTGGTCGTCGCCGACGTTCGCGCTCTCGTTCTGTTCGTCGACATCGCCGCCGTTCGCCTTCCATCAGCCGTTCGCGCTCACCAGTCTCACCTAAACGGTCCAAACATCGACGCTCTGTTTCTAACGATCGAGGTGACTTCGGCAAAAATAATGGAAATGAAAATATTGTTGAAGGTGTTAAGAAAGTTAAGCGTGAAAAGCGTTCAATGAGCCGCTCGTCCAACAACAGCAGCAACAATGGTCGTCAACGCTTGCGTCGTTCGGCTTCACATTCATCAAAATCTGATTGATGAGAGGAGGGGACTCTTTGAAAGATGAAGAGAAGATGACTTTGAGTACTTATATTTGGTGATTTTATGAACAAATGAGAATTTTGCGAACATTTTTTTCAAAGTAATTTTTTAAGAATTGAGAATTGTTTTTGGGCACCTTACCTTTTGTTGTAATCTTATAGTTTTCGGGTCACTAGGAAAAATAAGTAGGAAGGGCTCTTTCGATTTTTTCGAGGTCTGCCAGTACGCAATCATTTGTGCTGTGTGAATACGTTTCGGTCCGGGGTTAGAAATGAACAAATTTTAAGCTCAGATTCGGTCTCGGCTCACTCGATTGCCTACTGACAGACTTCACAAATATTGAAAGAACACTACCTGTTTATATTCTTTCTTAGGGACCAGTAAACTAGGATTACCTTACAATTTTTTAGTTTTTTAGACAATTATCCTGAATCATTTTTAAAAAAGTTTTCAGAATCCTCTATGGTGCCCAACTTTTATCTTATCGATTTTTTCATGTTATCCAATTTTCCTCTGTTATCTATTTTCGTCAGTATCATCATTTTTTAAAGGGATGTGTTAATCTAAAAATATTTTGACTGGACATTAAAATTTGAATTTATTTTCTTTAAAGGACTATTACTTTCTTTAAAAGTTTTTCTTTAAAAATGGATAATCTCGTATTTTTTAAAAATATTTTCTAGATAAATTGGGACTCATTTTTCAATCAAAAATGATTGGCGCTGAACTTAGCGATGCAGAAAAAACTAAAATTGCTTCAGACATTGTGCTTCAATCGCCCCCTGGTGAATTCAACGAGGTTTTCAATGATGTCCGTACACTTCTAAATGATGATACACTTTTGGACAAGGGCTGTTTGGAAGCTGTAAAGCAATATAATAAATCTCAGTTTGTGACTGTCAAGTTGGATGGAGTTGAACAATCGGTTAGTTCTTTTTGTATGTACTGTGTCTTTCTAGCGATCGATAATCCTACGGGGTGCGTGGTTTCCTTGGTACTACCAATAAGTCCACAATTATTATATGCTTGGTAGCACTTCCACGTGTATCATTTTTCTATAGTGGTTCGAATCCTACGGTTTATTTTCTTTTTAGGCTTCGAGGTCATGTTTTGGGCATAACTTTTTCGATTCTTAACCGATTAAGATAATTATTATATCAATCGAAAGCTCTTGATTTGGAGACTATTCTATCTAACAGGATTGTTTAGATCAGATTATCCTTTGAAAAGATAAAGCCTTATAAAGATAAAAAAATCACGATTGATTACACTTTTCAAGCTGTATCTTCTTCTAGGATGATCCTATCAAATTAATGTTACTGAATAAAACAATCCTCACATTCAGAGCTTTCGGTTAATATGTTAATTAATGAAATCGGGTAAGGATTATCAAGGTTATGGCCCAAAATATGGCCTGGAGACTGAAACGGCTATTCTGGGCTATTCCTGATCCTATTGATCATTCACATTTAATTTAAAATTTCAGACATTGGTAACAGAACATAATGAATTATCTGATGGTCGTTTCGTGGATCCAAAGTCTCAAAAAACCTTCAAATATGACCATTTACGAAAAGAAGCTGTTGAAGTACATCCTGTAGGGCCAAAAGAACTTGACGATAAACATGAGCAATGGAGAAAGATTTTACAAAAGGTTTTTTTGCGATATTTTTATTTTTCAAATATTTTGTAGGAAGTTGATGAATATGTCCATGAACATTTTTATAAGACTGGTGTTGCTGCTGTATTTACACCTTTACATAAAGAGAAGACAATAATTTTGTGTATTGAATCTCATCAATTTCAACCAAAGAATTTTTGGTTTTTTAAAGAATTTATTTTTTTTTTAAATTGAAGTTTTTAGGAATGGAAGATGGAGATCTGAGTGGCATTTACCTCTTTTTGATGGAAAAGCAACAACTCATAAATGTACGGGGAAACTTCGACTTCAAGTTCATTATTATGAGGATGGAAATGTTCAGCTTATTTCTGAAAAGGATCTTAGTGTTGATGTTAAATTGAGTGTTAGTTTATTTTTTTATAAGTTACTTTCTCTTAAGGGATGTCACGGGTACCCGGAACATCCATCAGTAATACCACGATAGAGAAATCAAAACCAGTGGAATTGTATAAGAACCTTGACACGTCACCCGACTTACCCGGATCTCAGGTTTTCCCCTCTCCCTTTAACTGACCTGATCTGAAGAGAATTTTGAGGACCCAATAAACTTATTTTTAAACCGTGCCCTTCCTGCTCCCTTCCATCCTTAAAATTTTCAAATAATT